GCTCATGTGTTTTTAAGGTGTTGAGGTTGGTAATGTGATGTAGATCCTGGCGAAACTCTAAAAGGTAGTTGCAAAATAATCTACCTCTTACAGCTTGGCCTTGAATAAATCAAATGAAACTGGGAAATAATCACTAAAATATACAATATCTGTGTGTTTTGCTTCCATTTAAACAATTAGGATACCAAAACATATAGTCCAACAAAACGATAAGGGTTGTTCAATAACTAAAACGTAAATAGTAAAATGCTTTAGAGTAAAATCAAAGCGCGTGCTGGTTTTTAAATAAGTTTCTGGATTGGATTTTTTCGTTTGACTGATTAAAGAAAAGCGCGCCGATAAAAACCTGGAAATAATTTCAATTAGGGGCTGAGTCAATTTGCGTCCCAGCGCCGGTTCAATTGTCGTGAGGCTCGCGAACTAAAATTCATTCGATTTTTATTTGGCATTTCATTCGGTTTTCATTAGTATTAGATTTTTTTTGGAGTGGTTTGTTTGTATTTTTTTTTTGGAGCGGGAGCAGAGGGAGGAGAGGGGGAGGAGTAGTTGTAGTGTTAATTAACTTTTTGTTAGACAAGAAATTCATTGTCGTATATAAAATAAAGTATACGTATGTTTATAATACATATACGGCAAAACGAAATATCGATGTTTGTCCAAAGGAACAAACGAAAACGAAAAGATAAATACTTAAAAACAGAAACTTAAAAGTAACGTAATCATTGTGAATCTTGGGTGGCCAGTGAGGTGGATCAGCACTCACCAGCTTGATGATTTTGATCAGCATCCAGTTGTTGGTCGATGTGGTCATTAGTTTGAAGAATATAGGCGCTAAGGGCAGGTAGTTTTTTGGATTCTTACGCGCTAATTCGCAAATAACATTCACGGCAGCTGATTGAACACCTAAAATTAGAGAAAATCGTTTAGAAATGTAGAAATGTAAAGTATAATTCCATTTATCTATCTATCATCTATATTTTATGGTTAAACCTGGATCTGGATCCTCCAGTTTCTCCTTGAGTTTGGGAAATGCAGGTCTCAATGCTTCGGGATAGCGTAAAAATACTTTATACATCATAAGGACGGCTTTCATGCGCAGATACGGCTTTGTTGAGCTCATCTGGGGGATCGAAGATTATAACAAGCTAAATTAAAATGCATAGATTGTCTTAATACCAGTGTCATAATATCATTGGCCAAATCGCGGGACAGATCGGGTGATATGAAGCAGCTTAAACCACTCAGCGCCACACCAGCATCGTATTGGTTCTGTGAGTTGAGATCCTTGCGTATCATATTGGTGGTCAGCATGAGCAGCTTTATAAGAAAAAAAACATTGTTAGTTATTTTAATATTTTCTACTTTTTTTCTTATGTCTTATAGGTGATAATTAATACCTCACTATCCGGATGGAAACATTGACTGGCCGCCAGGTAACCAATTCGCTTGCAGGTGAATCTGGATGAGCTCATCACCTCGATGATGTTGAAGCCCGCCCAGGAGATGTCGTAGCCCAGCATTTGTATCTGTCGATATGGAAATCGAATCAATAAATATTAACATTTTGTGCTGATTTTGTGCAAACGAATGGGGGTGCCAAGTGGCAGAGGGGCCCTCTTATATGTGTATCTGTGTGCCCCTATTAAATATGTGTGCAGGATAGGCCCAAGGACTCGTTAGCATTGAAATCTCTTTAGCTGCAGCTCGTTTCCCCACCTTACGCCCGAGGGCAAAAAATTGGCCTAGCCCGCCCTTTAGATACATTTTGGTATATTATGAAAAAAAAAAATATATAAAACACTTCCTAAAATTTGAAAAGTCAAAGCAGAACCCTAAATAGTAAAGCTACAGCATTCAAAATTTTACCACATATTCCTACCATCATGTAGGTTTAAGCCAAGAACTGATTTTGCCCCAAGTAACCCCAACTGGTTGCCACATAAGTAACAAATATCTGAGCCTATTATATTTTTGTAATAAAAAAAAAACATGTTTTCCCGCGTGCTGTGCTATTATTTTCATCACAACTGTGACAACTAACTATATGTTGTTGATGGCATCTTTCGGATCGCTTGTTAGCTGGCCACCGTGGGGCGGTGGGCATTGTTGTTGCTCCCCTTGTTTCCGCCGATTCAGTTGTTATTTCTACGGCTGTTGCTGTTTTTGTCCTTATTGTCACACTTGCCTACAAGGACCCCCGTACCCCAGGCAATTTGCATCAAGTGCAGCCAGGCACTTCGCCGACTTTGAATGGCTGCCACCAGATTCCGGGGCATGTAGCTGCAGCTGCATTTCTTAATCTAACGCTAAGCCTTCTTCTTCAAGGGAATTTAAATTTGAATCCTCTTTAGGTTGGCTAAAGGTTGTTTTAGCTTATTTCAGGGTGTTAAAGTGTTTCTGACATTCGAAAGATTCTTCAATTTATGAATATTAATATTGATCAAAAGAGATATTAAGAGGTTCTTGACCTTTTAACTTTTTTATAATAAATTAAACTAATCAATCAACCAAATTTCTTAATTATTCCCAAACGCTTTTCTATTTTTATAAAATTGAATGGCAGAAATATGATAAATACTTCATTACAATCTATTAAAATCAGGGTTTATTATGTTCTTGACTCTTTAACTTTTTAATTATATTTAAAAACATGTTTTCTAAAATATTCCGAGTATTATTTATAAATCCTTTATTTTAAAATTAAAATTGGAAATCTTTCTTCTCTGAAGGATTTCAATCTATCAAAACATTGATTTCTATCAATTGAGAAATTATGATGTTCTTTGGATCCAACATTTTCATAAATAAATAAAAAAAATTATTGTACATATATCCCTAAATATCTTGAGTGATATCTAAAGGATTCCAAGTCAGAATCTACAATAATGGGTATACTTACGTAGGTCAACTTGGCCACCGCATTGCACTTGACACTGATATTGTCCTGTCGCAGCTCCTGTTTGATCTCCTCGATGCACGTCGATATGTATTTGGCCTGCGAAGAAAGTTGAATTCAATCAAATTGTTTACTTAGAGTGGTCCGCCAAGTGGAATTGCGAAATGTGCAGTGACAGCACATCATAAAACAACAAACATATCTGAGAATCGTCGAGGGGCTATCAGTTCTATACCCCCCACATACACACAGCCACAGAGGCGAAATAAAGTAAATACAAATTCCAAAACATACAATTGCAAACAAAATAATAGTGATGTTGATATTGAAAAAGTTACTTTCTAAGTAAACTTAATTTATCAGCATAGGACACTCTATTCTTGTTCTTCTTCTTGGAGAAAACTCCATGAAAAGCTGATAAATTTCATAGAAACCTCGACGAGTAGCTTATATTAATGGTTAAGGTTTCCTCCCACAGTTGATATTTTCCCCATTTCGCATTCAATAGGATGGATGACCGCATAAAAGGTCTGCTATTAATTTAAATACAGCTGTAAATCAGCGTTAAGAAGCGGACACAGAGAAAAATAATGTTCAGATCTTAAAAAAACAATGGTCATGATATATTAAATACATTGGTTATAACATATTTAATAAAATTTCTTCACTTTGTGGTTCTATACCTAAAATTTCCTTATCTAAATTTAACAAACTTACATTTTTAAATTGTTTTTAATTCAGTGATCATGTTTATTATCAAAAGTAAGTAAAATATATATAAATATTTATTATAAAATTGTTCTTTAAACAAAAATATTATTTTAATTGCATTAATATGGGATTTCTGATATTTGCATTAATGTGACATGTTAAACCTTTAAAATTTCTCTCAGTGTGTCGAAGAAAGAGGCAGTACCGTTAGGCGATCCTGCAGAACATACTGATAAGGACCAAAAACAGACAATCAGTTGGGGAATTTACATGGGTAAATATTTGATAAAAGCACTTGCTAATTAAGTGAGTGAGTGCGTGGGGAAAACTCCGCGTTGGGTTTTGCGTGGCTCTTTTCCAGCTTTTCCTGCTCTTCCTTTTTGCATTGTTGGCAGATGCCGACCCACACACACTCGCACACCCACTGCCACTTTCACCCACACACACTCACACACACATGCACACGTTCACCAAACTCTAATAAGATTCCCTTAATGCAAACGAAATTTGTCAGCCAATTAGCGAGTTCTAATTGGACGCACAGCTGGGGCTCAGGGGGCGTGGCTGTTGTGGGCGGCAGCTTTTGGGTGGGCGTTTTGGGTGGACCAGCTCGTCCAGGACACGCTTACCTCATTATCCTTGTTGTTCCTAATGCCGCGCACCAAATCGGTGAGGTTTTTATCAAACATACGCTCGAAAAAGTTACCCTTCACTTTCTTCAGTGCCATGTTTGCCTTGGTGTTTTTCACTACTCTCCGCTTTGCTGCTACGCTTTGCAATCGGTATCTCACTCGAGGACTTTGACTATTTTGGCGAGGCGATTTCAGCACAGCACCGGCGTCAGCAGAAAGCACTCACTTCCGTCTTTTTCCGATTTGTTTTCGTTTTTTTAATTTAACACCAGCACACTAGAGGTGGAACAAAAAGTGCCCATTAATCGATACTATCGATGTTTGACCAACATCGATAAATTCCCAGGTGAATGTGGTGGGTGTCTTCGCTAAACCCGATACACTAACCATCGATGACTCTCGATAGACGGAAATTTGAAATAGAGCGAGAGGGGAATAGACTGATTTATAATAAAAATATTCTTTATGATCAAATTAATATTATTTTTAGGTAATATAGATACTTTAAATCTAAGAGAAAAACAAAGCACATTTTTAATGCAATTAAGCGTTTATTTCGAGCTCGCATTACGGTTTAAAACTGTTCAAAACATTAACATTTTAAAATGTTCTCTAACTTGTCCATTTAAAATACGCAACATTTCCTTACGCTTACTTTATAATTACCATTGGGAAATTGACAAACGCACTTAGGATGTTAGGAGTTTTAACTAAGCTTCGATGTATAAAATTAGGGCACTTAAAGGAAAACAATGTGCGCCTTTCGACCAACGAATCTCCGTTTAATACTTTCGATTACAACTACTCAAAAAATTTAAAAATGAGTGATTAATATTTGAGATATCTTAGGTTAATGGCTTGCAGCCGGCCGATTGACGGAAATGCTTGAGATATACATGTGTATAAGTGCAGGTTCTTGATCTTTTCGTTTCAAAGTAGCTTAGTAAATAGTTGGATTAGTTTGCTTGATTGCTTTTGGTTGCATTAGCTTGCTTCATTCGCGAAGCTTTAATGGTGTGATGGGGATATCTCAAATATTTAGCCGCAGTTAAACTGGATGTAATGGTGTGGCCTAATGATTCGGATATTGGCACTGGGTTGATGTGATTCCAAGGACAGTGAGTGCTATTCCTTGGTGGTCGGCGCATGGATAACGAACCGACTATTTGGGGAGTTTCTGTTGTTAAGGCTAAACACATTGCTCATGCGCATGTGCTCAAAGGTCAGCGGTTTGCTCAGATTGGTGTCCCGCTTCTTGTAGTACTCGTTAAAGTCGAGCCGTGTGCCGAAGAGCTGGAGATTCGGATCGTGGCTGGAGTTGAGAGCCATTAGGAAATTGCTCACGGCCTTTTCGTAGGCGGATGCTATGACTTCCAGCCCATGACAGGCAGTCTCGATCTTCTGGGCAAAGATCTTCTTCTCCTGGTCGCGCTGCAACGTCAGTTCGCTGGTCAGGCCATAGACACCCTGCTTCTCCGACTTCTGCACCTCTTTGGCCAGCTCCTGGCGGGCGGTCATCTCCTGGAAGCACTCCTTGTAGAAGTTCGACTGCCAGGTCTCCAAACAGATAATGTTCTCGTACACCGTCTCCAGAGAATGCTCCATGTCCGTTTCGTTGCCGACAAAGCAGCCCACCTTAATGGTTTGCAGGAACTTCTCGTGGGCCTCCAGAATGTCGTCGAGGGCCGTCGCTTGCTGCATTTTCTTCTGCAGCTCCACCCAGTTGCACTCGATCACCTCGAAGAGCACATAGTACTGCATCTGGTGGATGAAGTGCATGATCTCCGACGTGAAGAGGTTCAGGCGGTGCGACGCCTTGCCGATCTCGGAATTCATCGGGCGAAGAGTCTGAAAAAGTAATTCGGTTAGTATAATTTATAGTTTATAATATTCTTTTTTTTTTTTAATTATTATAAAATAAAAATAGTTGTGTTATTTATTTAACGAGATGTTTTCTTCAGTTGAATATTTCATAGAGATTTCATCGTAAAATAATTTTTAAATGTAATAAGTCCAGAAATATTTTAGAAATTTATTACTTTTGAAAATTTACATTGTGTTGGCAACACCATCTAACAGCGATAGACCGATTGCAGGACACAGCCGATAAGTGCGACTATCGATTTCAGAATTGTTTACATTCGTTCGTCGCTTTCAGATTCCCCTTTATCTTTATCTGGCTTATCAGCTTTAAGTCACGTTGTCAGCGAGATGGCCCTTTCGATCTTCAAAGATCTGCCGCCGGAGCATCCGCGCCACCTGATTCCATCGCTATGCAGGCAGTTCTATCACCTGGGCTGGGTCACCGGCACAGGAGGTGGCATGAGCATCAAGCACAAGTAAGTAAGGATGGTAATCCAAGTCATAAATATGTATTAACTATCATTCCCCCAGCGATGAGATCTACATAGCACCATCGGGCGTCCAGAAGGAGCGAATGCAGCCGGAGGATCTGTTTGTGCAGGACATCACCGGCAAGGATCTGCAGCTGCCGCCGGAGATCAGGGGCTTGAAGAAGAGCCAGTGCACCCCGCTCTTCATGCTGGCCTACCAACATCGCGGGGCGGGCGCGGTTATCCACACCCATTCCCAGCACGCCGTGATGGCCACGCTCCTGTGGACGGGGAAAACCTTCCGCTGCACCCACTTGGAGATGATCAAGGGCGTGTACGATGAGGCGGATAAGCGATATCTGCGCTATGACGAGGAACTGGTCGTTCCCATCATCGAGAATACACCCTTCGAGCGGGATCTCGCCGACAGCATGTACGCCGCCATGATGGAGCATCCGGGCTGCAGTGCCATCCTGGTGCGACGACACGGGGTCTACGTTTGGGGACAGAACTGGGAGAAGGCCAAAACCATGTGGGTTTCTCTTTTACTTTTATCATATTTATCCCTAACATTTCCTTTTATACAAAAACCAGGTCGGAATGCTATGACTATCTCTTCTCCATTGCCGTGGAAATGAAAAAGGCCGGAATCGATCCGGAGAAGTTCGAGAGCACTTAGAGAACTTGAACTGATTAAAATACACACGCCATTCGCTGTTTAACCCTATATAAGCCTTATACTGCATTTATCATCAGACATTTTCTGACCAATGCAAGGTTATAGTACTGAAAAATATTAATAAAAATCAAAACTTTATGAAAAACTTTAGTTAAATAGCATGTTTTTTCAAAGATACCATTAGGATTCAAAAATTTCTTCATTTCCATTTAAGATTTTTTGTTTTAAATGTATATGGTTTATAATAATGAAATGTTTAAATTTGTGTAGTTGGTATTTATTTTCTAGTTAAAGCCACAAGTAAAAATATGAAAATAAATTTAAAAACACTCAATAATATTTTAAGATCAAATAGGAACAGGAAATACTAAAGCCATTTTGTAATATAACATATTTTTTAGCTAGGGTTAATAATATCTCTTGAATGAGCCCGTGAGGTGGCATATTTTTCCCCCCAGTAATCTAAAGACTCTTGAAGCCTTATCGCCGTTTTATGGGCATTTCAAACTGAGTGCGCACTTTGCACTAAAACTTGGACTAGGGAGCGTGGTAACAGCCATGCTTAACAGCTGATAACCGCTGTTACGGGTTCATGTTAAGCGGCCTCTGCTAATGTTAAAGTCTAAACTCCACACCTGTCACGGTGGTTTGCAGGTGGTTAAAAAGGTAGATATTACATTAAACTGTATTTTTTTATCTTTTTTTGTGAAGAAAAAAATTAAATAGAATTTGTTTTCCGTATAGCCTACTGTTACTGGAAATAGCATACAGTGAGAATTTAGTTGAAGGTATTTTTAAAACTTTGCTGTTCAATACATACTGCAAAAGGTTTGCCATTCCATAACCCCAAAACTGTTAAACATTTGTTGGTTAAATGGTAAAAACTAGATTTTTTCCTTTTTAATAGATATGACAGAAGTGGTTTCGCTTTTTTATGAATTAAAAATAAAAAATATGAAGTTCATTATAACTTAAAAGTTAACATATTTCTCTGCCCTTTTTATGCTTTTGAGCCCACTGTTCATCAGCTGGCTAACAGCGCTCTGCATGAATGAAACCACAATGCGACGCACCGCATAGGCAAATACAATGAGTGCAAGTGAGTGCGGCATATCTGACCGGCTCTCCGCAGCATAGCCATCTCGCTCCCACGCGACAAGTGGAGTGAAGTGAGAAAAAAGCGACAATAAATTGGGCTATTGCACGCTGTCTGCTCATTATTTCGCGTTCTCCGCTCCAAGCGTAAGCATTTTCAACGACGCACAAACAAACGAACATTTTTCCCAATTTCCCAATTTTTTTCATTACCGGAAAAACACACAGAAATACACACACACACAACAACCATGTCTCTGCAGTCGGACGCCGTTTTCCAGAAGATCATCGATGGATTGAAGGAGAACGAGGCCAAGGCCAAGGCGGTCAACGGAGTGTTCCTGTACAAAATCACCAAGGACGGCAAGGTGGCCAAGGAGTGGAGTAAGTACAGATAGCTAGCTAATCGCGCCCATGGAAACACCCCCCACAAGGGGGCACACCCACCAAAAACCAGTGGTGGAGGTGGGGTAATTTGTGAGGGGGGTTCTTTGTTTTCATAGTGATATTCATGCAATGTTTGCTATATGATAAAATCAATTTTTTTTTTTTGGAACAGGGATTTTTTTTATCCCTTGTTCCCCGCCTCTGCCCTTGCCAGTACATATGTACGTGGTCTTTCCCTCCGAGTTTTGCATTTTCTAGTAGTCACAGTTCAAAGTGCACAGCATTTGTACTTCGGCACCAACTGTTGCCATTATCATAAGTACTGCATTGCCTATTTGTTCGATCGGAAAAACAACATACAACCCAACAAAAACTAATATTAATTAGGGAAGTTAGCATAAGCAATGTTTAGGGAACTTATAAGACAATTCCTTATTTACATTTGGATTCTACCGGTTAAATACAAAGCTTTTTTCTAACCTGTATTTAAAAAAAATTGTAAATGTTTACTCTTTTAATGTAAATTTCGGTACTGGGAGGTCTAAAGTTTGGGTTCCATATATTTATAGGTCTGTTTTTTACTTAAAAATTTTTGGATTTCGGTACTGGGAGGTCCAAGAGTTCGGATCTTTTTAATTTATATGTCTGTATTTTTAAAGGATATTTAAAATGTCTATTTTTTGGTATAGATTTTGATGTTGGGAGGTCTAAAAGATAGGGTTTTTAAATAAATATTCCAAATGTTTGATCTTTAAATGTAAATTTCGGTACTGGTTGGTCTCAAGTTCGGATTCCCTATACTTATATGTTTGTTTTTTTAAAGGATTACTTAAAATGTATGGATTTTCGTGCTGGGAGGTCTAAGAGTTTGAATTTTTAAAGGAATATTCAATATGTTTACTCTTTTAATATAGATTTTGTTACTGGGAGCTCTAAGAGTTCAAAGGCCATATAAAGTCTAAATTCTTATAGTTTTAATGACCCCTCAACTTATTCGTATCGCCCACTTTCAGCTCTGGACTGCAAGAACGCCAAGGCCTACGAAGGTCCCGCCCAGGGCATCAAGGTGGACACCACCCTGACGGTCGCCGACGAGGACATGGTTGACATCGCCCTGGGCAAGCTGAACCCCCAGGCTGCCTTCATGAAGGGCAAGCTGAAGATCGCCGGCAATATCATGCTCACCCAGAAGCTGGCGCCGCTCCTGAAGACCGACGCCAAGTTGTAAAGGGATCAACGGACCAGCCTGCACATTCCTCACCAACTTCTGTGTGTGTTCTTTATTACTCTTTTTTTTGTGTGTAATTTGTAATCTGTATTCGTGTTTTTGTTTCACCACATAATTAATGTTATTTTTGTACGGGAAATCGTCTACAAAAAACTAGAAAATAATACATAAGGCGAAAACGAACTACCAATTCTTGTGCACTTTGATACTGTGGATGGTTTATCGGTAAGTGGGTAATCGCCGCGGATTAGATTACAAGGGCAATCTTATCAAGGTGTTAGAGGGGATTTCTTGACACCAAACCTTTCAAACTTCGACTTCCTTTAAACATAAAAAAGATAGCCCTGCATCTATGTTGCCAGTTTGGATTATTTTAATCTATAAATTTGAATGCAATACCTTTTCCAATAAGATAAGCCTTATTTCAGGTTAATTAGGTTAATAAATAGAGTGTCAAAGACCTCGAATATTTTAAAATACTTATTAAGAACCAATGAATTCTTGGCTTTCTTAAGAAGATTATAACAAATAGCAGTTAGCCTATGACCAGCTATTATATATATTACCGAAAGACATCGTATAATTTGGAATATCAATAGGAATTTAAACCGCACATCAAAATTTGATCTGTGATACCCTTAAAATACAAATTCCAATGCCAGATCAGATACATGTGCACTCCGAGTGACTCCCGCCAATCAAAATGTGTGCATGCACTCGAGATACCGACAAGTAATCAAATAGCCAGCGCACTCACCTTGGCATTGCCCATCTGCTCCTGCCAGATCTTCATCGAGAGCACGAACTCCATGTGCTTCATGCGCCAGAGGGGCTTGAAGAGCAGCTTGTACGTGGGCATGGTGGGCTCCAGCATGGTGGCCAGTGGTCCCTGGACGATGTACTTCAGCGAGATGATGTCCCAGCCCTTGTCCCCGATGTACGGACGTTGCACCACAATATCGAGGTGGTTGAGTATATCCGGATCGTCGTACTGGGCATTTGTGCAGCGTAGAGCGGCATCCAACATGGAGGAGAGATCGTGGGCATATATATCACCGCCGTTGCGCTCAAGTTCGTCTCTGCAAAGGGGGATTATTAGTATATATAAATTATCTTTGCTCTATTCACACGAAACGCACTTCATATTCTCGATGAGTATGCTGACAAAGTCGCCCTGGCCTAGCAGCAAATAGCGACGCATTCCCTGCAGGTGATCGAGCAGCTTGTGGGGACCCACCATAATGTCCAGGACATGTTTGGAGGTCTGCTGGTAGCACGTTTCCACAGCCGCGTGCCAGCTGGTGTCCGGCACGTACGAAAAGAATTGGTCAACTGTAAGAAAAAACAATGCAATTTATTTAATTTTTAGGTGAGTAACAGGCATATGATGGTCGAGGCACTCGACTATAAATAAAAACAAAGCTTAAAAGTTAGGCCAACCACTCACCTTTATTGTCCATGACCTTCTTGAGTTCGTCGCGCCCCTTCATGAGTCCCTGCATCTCGCAGATTTCCCTCAGAAAGTTGATGCACTTGCCCGTCTTGAGAATCTTATCGGCCAGATCCATTGGTACAAACTTTGGCAGCATGGGCAATCGCAGGCGGAATTTATCGTGCCAAAGCCGATCCGCACCCACATCATTGAGTGACTCCACAAAGAACTCGCTGTGCAGATCGTTAATGCCGCCCTCCAGCATCCACTTGGAGATCATGCGCACCAGCGGGCCACAGATCGCGGTGAGGATGTCTACTACCAATTTGTTGACCATCGAGTGCCCGTTGTCCAGTAAATCGTACACGGTCGATGCCAATTCGCCGCCCTTTTTCATCTGGCAGGCGTCGGCGATTTTGGTGAGCCACTGCAGCCGGTACAGTGGCTTTATGTACCAGGCGAGCAGCTTGAAGAGCGTCAATTCGTGTTTGTCACTCGGCTCGCCGCCGCAGCCAGCGTTCCAATTCATTTGGGCCTTCCGATAGAGATTCATTTCGTCGTGGAGCTCGGACACCTGGCCATGGAATTCAGACAGCTCCTCCTTGAGCTTGGACATCAGGGCCTGACCCATGCAGCCCATGGCATTGAAGCCAGTGGACACGTCCGCAAACTTGGTCACGCGATCGTAATAGTAGCCCAGTTCGGAGAGCCGGAGCAACATGCCCGCCTGGCCTGCGGTCAGCGACTCAGAGCTATTTGGATCCAGCTTGAAACGTCCCGTAACCACGTCCTTTTTCAAATACTTCCCCTGGACCCCAGTGAAGGAGTAGATGGCATTCAACACTATCTCCTGTTGCTCATCGAACTTTTGTTGTGCCTGCATTTCCACGTAGTTGGGCAAGGTCTTTTTGCCCAATCCGGGGCTGGATTGTGTGGGATCGTAGCTATAGCCACCGCACCCGGCTCCGTCAACTGCGTCTCTCTCGGACAATCCATTGCCATTGTGGCTGCTGGTGCCTGTTGCATACGATCCAACCCCTGCGGTGAGATTCGCGCTGGAGGCTGTACGATTCCCCAAAGCCTGGCTGAGATTATCGGATCGAGCGGAGAGCAGCCCTGCTTCTCCATTCGCAGTCTGCTTGTCGGCCATCGAGAGCAGGTAGCCCATCAGCGAGTGACGCACCTGGGGATCGAGCTTTATTTGCAACAGCTTCCTGTAGAGCTCGTAGAAGTGCTCTGCTGTATCTATGCCATCCACTTCTCCCCGAGCCCTTAGGATCTTCATGGTCTTTTGGACGCATTCGTGTTCGGATAGGGATATCGAATGGTAAGGAGAACCAGTATTGGACGTTAGGCACTTGGCAACACGGGCCAGGGTTTCATCTATGGAAAATGGATTAATGTACATTATTAAATATATAAAGGTATATAGTATACAGATACTAGGGAGTAATATCCTTAAAACCAAGTCAAGATACACAAAGGTCAGCCTAGTTACTAAATAAAAAAGTACGTATCTAAATTATTAATTGCTTAAGAGCTAATAATATACCCAAGTTTTTAGAGTGAACGTATTATATCCTTTAAGTATAGACATTAGTACTGCCATTCTTAGTTTTCTTTAAACCCTTCTTATATCGCAGGTATTACTAGTTTATACCTCAAATGTTGGGAATGTAATGTGGGTACTATTACAAAACATATATTTTATTCCTTAAAGGATTTTCAGTTCTATAATGTTTGATATTAGCTTTTTTTGAGGACTCCTATCCTAAGCAAAATTAGATGGTATTATACATGATATGTTTTTGATCTGGGAAGGCCATCTTGAGGTTCCACCATCACGAAGGATAGCCCCAAGATGTCTGATAGAGAGGATGCCTCCTTTGTGGACAACCCAGTGGGCAATCCCAGACATCCAATCCCAATCCCAATCCCTCTTACCTTGAACTTGGGGCGGCTGTTTGCCCTCTATGGTCAGGCACAAGTCCGACAGGAGATCCGCCAATCTGGAGGTCAGGCCGGCCACATCGGCACCCGAGTTTTCCTGCGACATCCTGGTGGACAGAGATCGGAGCTATTCACTCCTATATTCATAAATCCAAATGGGGCGCGCGACAACCAAAATAGCTTGGAGATGCGAAGTGGACAACAACTGGTGGCCAATTACACACGGGCTCCTGATTCCCGTACAGTAGCTGGCCTAAAATCACCTTCAATTGCTGCGCTTGGCCGAAAGTTCCAACGGAATAAGCCAAAAAGCGAACAATTGGCGCCTACTTTGTTAAAAATTTAATAAAATATTTTAATGCAGTGGTACCGTATTTGGCAAACTGGCCAATGCCAAAAACGGAGTTTCCACTGGTGGGTACACACTGGCCAGGCGGAAAGTTCGACGATCTGGTAGCTCAAGTTATTTATTGTAGCAAAATATTAATAACGAAAAGTATAAAATGGAGAAATTGACATTTTAATTACCTAAAAGGCTTGGCACACTATGTCGAGTTACCTAACGAGTGTTTCAATAACTCGATTACAACAAACACATGGGTTAACTCCGTTAATTGAGTCTATAAATAGGAACCTTTTATCTTTGGTTATAAGCTAAAGCCTAACATTATCAATAAGGTAAGAATAACTAAAAATATACTTGCAAAATTGATTTTAAAGTAAATATTGCGCACTGGTAATAGCTTATTGTTACAGAGTTGCAACAGTTTTGGGAATACCCTAAACATTTCTTAAAAAGTTCTTGTCGTAATAATCGGTACTACCATTGCAAAGATCTGGCAGCTCTCTTGGTATTTCCGTGCCACACGGTCACACTGGCAATTTGCAAATAAACAAAAAAGCCAGGCCAGTTTAATAATTAATTTATTCATTATTCGATTCGCCTCATATTACTGATAGAATGGGTGTGACTGTTCTGCAACCCTATCCCCTGCCCGAGGGCAAATCGGGGGCGTACATCGTCGACCAGCTGAGCAAGCGACTGCTCGGCCTGGGCGCCACACATGCCGGTCAATTTCTGGTGGACTGCGAAACATTCATCTCGACGCCACAGCCCCACAATGGAGCACCCAGTCGCGCCGTCCACGTCCTGCACAACTCGGAGTACCCAGCCTCCACGTTCTCAATCATCGACAACGGCACCGGCAAGCAGGTGGCCCTCGTTGCCGACAACATCTTCGATCTGCTGATGCTCAAGATGACCAACACCTTCACCTCCAAGAAACAGACCAAAATCGAGTCCCGTGGCGCCCGCTTCGAGTACGGCGATTTCGTCATCAAACTGGGATCAGTCACCATGATGGAGCACTTTAAGGTAAGCGTATAAACCCAATAATTCGTAATTTTTGCGTTCTATACATATTTGGAGTACTGCAGAATAAGAAAATATAGACTAGAACACTTCAGAACAAGTGGAACTAACATTTACCACACTGGCATAGGTTTCAATTTATAGAGCCATCAGAAATGTATTAATAAAATAAGACCGCAAATTCTTCAGGAGGAAAAACATTTAACAAAAATTTTAACATCTCATATAATCTCATATCTCACATATAATGCAAATGCTTTAAATTTAATAATATATTAATATTTGAAAAGGATTTAGGAGGCCTATACTATATGTTCCGTTTACATTTTTTGGAAACTTATTTCCGGGCCTCTTAAGTTGTGGACATACCATCGCAGCCTGTACTCAAAACTTAGATCATAAGATATAGTATATCGTATATCTCAAATTGTTTATGTATTTTGCAACTTCAATTCCAGGGTATCCTCATCGAGATCGAGTACAAGTCGTGTGTGATACTGGCCTACTGCTGGGAGATGATACGCGAGGTGCTGCAGGGATTCCTGGGCATTGGGGTGAGCAAGGACTTCCCCTCGTACTTTGCCCCGCAGACCATAATGACGGCGATGGGCCAGCAGCAGCTGCATGCGAAGCACAACGACATCTACGAGCCGGTGGACACGGTGAAGCAGTACCTGGAGCAGTTCACCAACTACCGGAAGCATGTGGCCCTGCTCGGCGGTATGGGCAGTGGTTCGGTTGGCCCACAAGTGGGTCCGCCCGTGCACATGGCGCCCTCGGTGGTGGGCCTGAATCGACCCTGATCCGCCGACGTCAAGCTGGAGCCACCGGATGGACCAGTAGCCGATTGAGCTGAATATTATCAAGCAATCCCATTTTTTTTTTGTATCTAAATTAAGTCGATTGAGTGAGGTCTTCAAACTTTATAAATATATAGATAGCATATAATACAAAATACGTGTTACAGAAACCTCCAGTATGCAAAGCAAAATTTAATTCTGGTAATCATTGAGAAATAACAGAACTTTTACACTTTACTATCCGGTTTACCATATCCAAAGTTATACGTACTTGCTTTAAATATCTGGAGATTTCTGAAACAACACATTAAATTAAAAATTGTAGGGTCCTCTTTGAATCGTAAATGTTTCGAACATCTTAGAAATTTCATTTAAGATATATTTAGTCTTGTATATGTATGTAGGAAACTGTAGAACTAAATAAAAATAAATAACATCCGACTTTTTTGCTTGTACAAAAATTTGTTTTGAATCTTAGCAAGATGTAAACAACATTTGTATACCACCAAAATAATTAATAAAGACACACACTTTTGTTTGAAATTTTTATTTTTATGTATATTTTCTGCTTTTAACACAATAGTTTATATATATATGTAGATATATATATTTTATATATAGATGTGTGGGTGTATGTGTAAGAATATGTCGAATTTTTGTTTCTTCATGAAGTGTAAACAATTAAAAATATATAAGTGGGGCAAAAACAAAAGTCTTTTGCTTATCTTATAAAATGCAACGTTTATTCAATCAAAAAAAAAAAGAGCAAGCGGGAAAAAGATGAATCCGTTGGTAAATGTACGTAATAGTAGTTTTAAGCTTAATTATGTTAGTCTTCTGACACACACAGTTACAAAAAATTAAGGAAAGAAATCATGACGATGCGCGCTTAGGAAATAATCAAAATGGTTTGCTGAATTTCAAGTCAATGGAATTTGTGTGCTGTTTTGGCTGTATAACAGTGTGGTGGATGGTTAAACATAATTTTCAACCGATCTTGGGGGGGGAGGGGGGTATGGTGTACGAGTGTGTGTATAACAGTTTCGTATAAGTAATATGCTTTGCTTTTAAGTGGCATAATGACAGCGTGCTAAGTACGCTGTTGATCTGTTCCAGCTTTTATCATATGCGATATCCTAACCCAAAGAAAACCCACAACAAATGCTGCATCGTTGCTCCTTAGTATCATCATTTCTCCATTCCTCTGGCTGGATTCTCATTTTTTGTGTGTGATCTTTTCACTCATCTCGTTTTTACAAATCTTTAAAATATACTTTTCGCTTTACGTTTTTAGTTTTACATGTAGATAAGATATACGTTGTAGGTTTTTTTTATGTTTATGTAGGTTTTATAATTATGAATATTAGTTTAAACGGAGATCAAATTCCGATTGATTGTTTGTTTGTTTTCTTTTTGTGTGTGTGACCGTTTCTGGGTTTTGAGGGTAGGGTTCTTTCGATCAAGATTTGCGACAAATTCTCCATTTCGTCTTTTCTTATCAATTGGGTTAATTCTTTGCATTCCTGTGGATTTTCTCCTTTTTTGTAATTTGGTGTTTCTTGTTGTTATAGTAGTTGTTGTTTCTCTGTTGTTGCTTCTAGGTGTCCTTGGGGTGGAGTTGTTATATAAGCATATGTAGCATATGGGGGGCCCCGGAATCCCGATTTAATCGCGTATGGGCAAGGTAGCCGGCTTCACATGACCGCCATCGCCCTCCGAAACAAAACGCTTGCGTCCGCTGCAAATATAAAAATCGAGGGAATTGATCAGAAATTGGTTAATCAATAAGATGGGGAGGGGTTAAAAATAATAGCTTGGTAAAATTACTACCAACTCGCTTTAATTAGTTATATTAAACCCTAGGGGCACCCTTGAATGGGAAAATCGTAGTGATTAATGTGGGGCTTCGTATAGAGACTTAACTTAATAAAACAAAAAACTGGATCTTAAAAGGAAAAGAGGCATACTTTCATAATTTTTTTCAAGTCTATAAATATAAAATAATAAACTTTCGGAAAAGTAAATATACTCTGAAGAAAGTCATCTCTTAAAAACGATATTTTTTTAAACATTTTTCAAAAATATATTCCAAAATATAAGCGATAATAAAAAATTGTTATTTAACATTTTGAATAAAGTTTTCGAAAAATGTATTAAAATTATCGTTTTTAAGAAATGACTGTTTTTTTGAGATCACTCATCCCAAAGAAAACTCGATGCAAATATGTATAAATAAACATACATACATATGTATGTATGATAACTGTAAGTGAGTAACAAAGAAATAAATGCATTTTAAATGCAACTGCATAATGTTATCTCTCTTTCTCGCTCTGCTGTACGCACTTAGTAATTATACAATTATGCAATGCAAAATGCCGCAAAAAAAACAAAGAACAAGGAAACAAAGAGGAAAAAACAAAAAACAAGTTGCAAAATGCTTGGCGCAAATTTGGCAACAACAACAACAATTTGCACAAAAGTTCATTCACCGTTGACCCTTTTTCGCGCTCTCCCTCTCTCTCTCTTGGGGGGTTCTCTCTTGCTCTCTTTTCTTGCAACAGCTGTGCAAAAGTAGCGGGTGAATGCGATTGAGAGGGGAGGGGGGAATAAAAACTAGTTTAATTTTTTAAAGAGAGCTACTGACCAAAGGATTCTATGCAAAAAAAAAAAAAAAACAACAATAACCAGCTGGAGTTTAAATTGCTGCTTCTATAAATATGTGACCAAGTGGGGGACTAAATGCTCAAATGAACACATAAATGTATAAATATAGAGGAATCAACTAAAATTGCGGCAAGATAAGCGCACGACGACCACACACACAAGCACACAAGTCAAAACAACAAAAAATTTAAAAAAAAAGAAAAGGTAAAAAAAAGCATAACAGAGCGGAGCCCCCAGCGAAGCCAGCTGCAAGAAAGAGTTGACAGTTTAGCTAGTTTATAGTAAAAAAAATTAAGATCTACAAATGAAGAGAGGCATACCTTACTAACTTATTTAAATATATAACTATAATGATAACATTAAACTTAGCTATTTTGAAAAATAAAGATGTGGTATACTAATGAGGCCATTCTTTTTGCAGTATTTAAATACTCTATTTGGTGTATTAATTGAACCTGTAAGCTTGATCTCTCAATATTCATAAATGCATATACATTTTTAAAATATTTTTGTTCTTATTAAAATGAGGGAAGTGATTTACTTAAGAAGTGAAAGTGAATGACACCTTTTATAATAACAATATTTATTTTATAATACATTTAAAAACATACATAGCCTTAATTAAACTATCTTGGTTTTTCTTCACAATTTGCAGTTCTAACATCTCTAGAAATCACGGCTAGAAAAAAGCTAAGACTTTTTGCCAACACTGTGCCTCATCAACCGTTATGTCTGAGTGTCTTGGCATTGAGTTCAGCTTGAAAACTTTTTTTTTGCAAGCTCTTTTTGCATCTGTAGTTGTAGTTGCGTTGGCGTTGCATATCGTTTTCTTGTTGTTGTTGCTGGAGTAAAGTGAATGCTGTTGTTGCTTTTGTGTGGCTGCTGCAGTCGTTGCTTTTGTTGTTGCCTTTGTGGCTGTCGCGCTGTGTTGTTGTTGTTGCTGTTGCTGTTGCGCTAAAAGTGGCAAAGTGCAATAGCCGCTGTCAAGGCGAAATGCAAATGCAAATGCAGTTATAGTAGCAGAGACAACAACAACAACGACGACTGCAACTAAAGTAGGAGTGGCAAGCAGGTCGATAACAGCAACTTGGCCGCCATGTTTACCTTCGCACAAACACCAGCAAACACACAAACACAACAACAACAACCACCTAAGCAAACTAAACCCCCAAGACGATCTTGAGCCACATGCAGGTTGTTGCACCAACAAACGGCCACAATAGTAGTACTAATGAAAGCAAAAAATAATAATAACAATTCAGCAATGCAAAGTTTGCCGCGATAAACACAGCCAATCGATAAGGGACGTCCGCCCACATTCCCCCCACTTCGCCATCGCACACATGGTTATCGATAAACGCCACTTCTTTTGCACAAACAAGAAAGAAATCGAAAAGAAAGCCGGCTTTTCCATACCCTTACCATCCGTATAATTGCGATTTTACAGCCATTACAATACAAATAAATTAGTCAATACAAATGATAAATAAATATTCAATTATTTCCAGGAAAACTGTTAAATTTATAGTAATTTAAATAAAAAAATTCATCTGAGGAAGTATTTATGGGATTCTTTGGATCTACACAACTAAAATATAGATCAACAACCCAGGAACAATAAAATTTTTGGGATGATATTAACCTTTCCCTATATCCCAAATGAAATATTGATGCATCAAAATAACAGTAGAACTACCACAATACATATATACTAAGTAACATAGGTCCACCAAACTTATTTGATTCCAAAGTCTAGAGCGGTTTTAATAGGTATGTATCTATGGATGTTAATACAGAACTTCTAGTTACTTGTAAGGTCAAACTTATATTGTTTCCAAAGTATAGAGCTGTTTTCAAAAGTATTTTTGGATATTAGCTGTAGCTTATCCTTGGCTAATACTTCTAAGACATCAGAAACCCCTTTGTATGCAACTAAAGACCCAAAACCGGTCAACAAAACCATTATTTTCCATCGACTCGTTGAAAAGAAACGGAAAGTAGGAAAAAATAGAGAAGTTGATCGCCGAGAGAATGAGGGGCAAGAACTCGATATGTATAAAAATAAATATAACTAGCCGGCACCTGATAAACCGGCAAGAAACGTCAAGAAAAGAAATAAACAACAATCTGCGACTGCCTCAACGGATGACGCGGCGTTCGTCAAGTTAATTCCAAAATGCGAAACTAAACTGCGCAATAGAAATTTCATAAACAAACATATCCACACATCCCGTACATATGCACACCCGACAGACAAACACTCGGGCCACAAACAAAACACGTCTATATGTAGGTACTACCCGTCTATATACACAAGAAACTGAGCCAAAAGCGAAAAAAGAAGAAAAACAAAAAATAGGAGAATAATAAACAAGTCGAAGCCGGCAAAAATGAAAAAATAAGCACGTACAAAAAATACATATCTAAGAACAGCAGCGGTAAAAATTATAGTAATACTAGATTAATCTATAAAAATAAATATTTTATATATTTGAGTGAAGGATCTCAATGTGAGGATCCTAAATTTATGAAGTAATCTATTTTTTCTCCAATACTTGGTCAAGTTTATAATACTTTTTACCATAATCTATTTCATTACCCTCTACTGTTTGCAATAATAATCAAAAATTATAACAAAAATACGGCCTTCATAAATCGTAGCTATATCCTCAGCCCAAAATAGAATAATCAAAAAAATCATATAATCAACATTTGGTTAATTTTCTTATCAAACTCGGCCTTTCGAGTTCTTATCAACAATTAACCAATACCCTTTATAGCCTACGATCGGATCGATAGGCCCTGTTTCCTATGGAGAGTATACAACTAATTGTAAACAACAATGTATAAACCTTCTTTATGGGGGGCACCGCTTTGGGGGCGTGTCGTCTTTATGGCTGCTAGGATTACGTAAACACGTCTCGCTCTCATTACTGAGTTTATTTTCTTGACTGCAGCTACATAGGTACGTTTGTGCATTTTTATAAACAGGTGGGCTCACCGTTTGAGGTTCTGTTGTCTTATCAATTGATACTTAATAAGGCAACAAACATTATAAATATTACCTACTAAACTACCTATAATTATAATCGAAAACTAAGTATTATAGTATTTTGATTTAAATATAAATATATTAGGTTTGATCATCTATACTTGATCGATTTTCTGTTCTGGGATCTTAAAGTAACCTTTATAAAACTGACCCTTTTGCTAGATATCTATTATCTTTAAACCTATTATAAACTTACCGCGATGGCACATTATTTATAATCTTGTCGGTAAGGAATCCGGCGCGATTGCAGCGTTCAACAAAACGATCGAGTATTATATAGGCCAGGGGCACATCCAGAACGATGTCCGCCATGTCATCGAAGACGCGCATAAAACCCTGGCGAAGAAAGCAGGAAATTTGGGATTAGTAGGGTAATGGGTATTACTTAAGCCTGTACAATTAAAATGAATTATTTTAAATGTATAACCACATTTGGAATACAACATTTACGACCGTATTTATTCGTATGTTAAACTTAAACTTGGCCTTTAACCTTGAAAATGTATCTAGAAAACGTATGCAAAAGTAGAGCTTAAAACCTACATTTAGTTTAACCTGCGAACGAGAAAATGGGCCTTAGCGTAAGAACCCTTGGTGGAAAAGCAGAAAATTTCTGGATAAGAAGATTATGGGTATAAACTAAAACGTGGCTTTAAGTATAGAAAACTTATGGAAATGTAGATTTTTAAACCCTACATTTAGTTTAACCTGCGGACGAGAAAATGGGCCTTAGATAAAGAAACTCTGTTAAAAAGGCAGCAAACTTATAGATTATAATATTTTGGGTATTACTTAAACTTTTACAATTTAAAAGAATTATAACACTTAGGTTTAGAGTTTAAAACCTACATTTAGTTTAACATGACGAATAAATGGCTCTTGGAGCAATATTCAAAAATGGTTGTTTCAGTGAAACAAAGAAGAAATAAACCCACCTGCTCCATGCCCGCGGGCAGCACCAGGCAGGTGAGATCTAGCTGCTTGAGCAGCTCGCACATGGCCTCCTCGGTGGTCTGGCTGAGGGACTCCAGTGTCATCACGATGGCCTCGTAGACGAGCTCGTGATGATAGTGCGGCACCTCGAGGGCACGCAGACAGCGCTGCGCCTCGGCCACGTCCCGGGAGGATATGTACTCCTTGAGCAGCAGCTCCATCTGCTTGGTGATCGTCTTCACCGGACGCAGCGGGCCGCCCATGCCCCACACGTTGTCCAAATGGGCCCACACCTGCTTGTGGAGCAGCGAGTCCGCGCGACGGAGGGCCTGTTCGGCATGCTCGCCCAGCTCCAGATGCCTGAGCTCCTCCTCCGCCTTGGCCACAAACTTGGGCGGAATGCAGTCGTCGGCCACCGCGCGGGCCATAAAGTTGCCCAGCATAATGGGCGCCTCTGGAGTGTCCAGGATGAGATCCGGCAGATTGGCCAACAGCATGTTAAAGCCCTTCTCGATGTCCTTGCCGGTGATGACCCGCCCGTACAGATCGGAGATCAGCACCGAGGTCATCTCCCGCTGCGAGTCCTTGTGATCCATGGCGATCTCCACGAGAATACTGGTGATGTGCTCCCGCAGCGGACCCTGCAGTATCTCATCGAAACTGAGGGCCACCTCGTGCGGATCCCCATGCTCGTAGTACTCCAGGACAATGGGTTCGGCCAGTTTGAAGAACTCCTCGGGTGTGATCTCCGTGATCACCTCGCGCAGCTCCACATTCCGATCGTTGCACTCACTGTCATAGTTGGGATCGTTCTCGTCCTCATAGACCTCGGCCAGGGCCTCCGAACCGGGCAATCCCCAGACGCCCTTGCCACCGGCTCCGCCCTTCTTGGGCAGACCACGGCCGCGATTGAGATTCCTCGAGCGCCGGCTATTCTTCCAGCGGCGATGGGGCACCACATAGCCACCGGGCGAGGGCAGAATGCCGTTGACTGCTAGGGGCAATCCATTGGCTCCTCCTCCTCCACCGACAGCAGCTCCATTGCCATTGGTTTGATTGGGACTGCCGCCGGAACCACTATTCTGTCTTTGGATGAGCCGCTTGGCCTTACGCTTAATGCGGCCATCCTCCACGGGCAGCGGCTTCTTGATATGCCCGTTCGAGTGGTGGCCACCACCTCCTCCACTCCCGTTCAGCTCAACCGCCTGGATCTCGCCGTTCAGCTCCCGCTCCACGGAACTCTCCTTGGAATCGGATTCCGCCGGTGGGGTGGAGTGACGTCCGCCGCCATTGGTGGCGCGTTTGTTATGCGATTCCACTTCCATATCGACGATAATACGATGTACGTCCCTCGATTTCCCCTTGGAATGCACAGCAAGGATTGGGTTTTGTACTCTGGCACCAGGTGCGTCCTGTTTTTTTCTATAAATAAATGGCAACAGGTAGAGGGGGAAATCGTCTAGTTAGCTTAGAGTGAAAGTGAATAAGGTAAAATATGTATATTACAGAAATGATGTGTATTTCTACCGAGAACAGACGATATACATAGAAACGAAAAACTATAAAAATCTTTCAAATCTTTGACACCATACCATAAAAGATATATGCACCTAAAATATCCCAGTACTTTTCCACTTATTATCCATGTAACACCTATGCAACCAAGTACATATTTACCTAAGTTTGCTGATGCAAAATATAATCTGTTGAAGGTATAGTTTTCGGTGCAATTATCGAACTTGACTCTTAGGAAAACTTAAAGAAAACAAGACGATATAGGGGTGGTATATATGTATGTGGTAATTTTCCGAGGATTCGCCTTCATTTGTTTGGGGCGGTTTAATTTACATGTCTCGCCTTAAAGCCGGAATGCTTTTGAGGGTCTTGTTTGTTATTGTGCGTTGTGTATGTGGAATTTGTGGCACTAAAACAAATACACATGATGTCTGGCACGTAGATAGCCGACAATCCCCCCACTAGAAACCCCTTCTTTTCAAGTTCCTATTGCTATTTTTTTTGCTATTCAGATTCTTTTCTTTCTGGCTAAAAATAAGCTTACTGCACGTAATTTCTGTTATGTTCACTCAATAAATTGAATTATAATGCAAAGTAATATCTTGACAGGAGTATGATCCTGTCAAGATATTACTTTGCATTTTAATTCAATTTAATAATCTTTCACCTTCGAGATAAATACCATTTTTAAAGTTTTTTTAAAGATCAATTAACGATAGTAAATGTAAACATACAAATTCATTTGCAAAAATGCAGTTAAATGATGACCTTTAACAAGAAATAATATATATTTGTATAATTGGCTTTAATATTTTGACCGCATCTGTACTTAACGGTACTGCGTCTTGGAAATTGCAAATATTTGTCAATGGGCGTGGGTGGGATAGAGATAGCAATAGGGACATGTATCGAAACTCCCCTGTACTCAAAATTCAAGGTCACGCAACAACAACAACATCAGAACCAAAGAGACTACATAATTGTGATACCGTTAAAGCTTTGCAACCCCCACAAACATATTAGCCATCTCTTTCCCACAAGCTCTGAATTGAGAGTTCCTTTTGTTTGTATGTATGTATGTGTGACTGTTGTTGTTTTACATAAATTCCTATTTTGCCAGCTGCTTTTGTTTTTTGTATTCGCTTATTTTTTAGTTTTCAGAAATAAAATAAATTGAGTTCTAAAAATAACTCAGTAACTAACATAGCAAAGTAAATAATAAAACAATTTAAATTTTTAAAATTTAAATTTTTAAATACATAACTTTAACAGAAAAGTTTCTTGAATACAAATACATATGTATGTAAAATGTAAAAATGTAAATTAATTCTTTGAGTAATTACATATCTCAATTTTCGGTTGTAAAGTGTCATTCATACATATGTATGTACATATATGTATCATATCATATCATACCCATGTAAAGCATAATAAGAATAAAGGCAAAGGTACCGTGCAAAAAAAGCCGCATATGTACATACATATACATATGTATGTATACATGTGTTGTTTGGTTGCGTTTGATTTTGTTTGTGTGTGTTTTGTATTGCGCCGCTTTGGCTTTCTCCTCTTCTTTAACCGCTGATTCTTATGTACTGCCCCCTCTGTAAATATGTATATGGCTACAAACACATACATATGCTGTAACCGGTTTTATGTTTGTTTTGCCCGGTTTAACCTTGAAAATTTAGTGCGCCTTACGAATTTCTATGTTTTTATTGCCGTCTCCTTCCTTTCTCTTCTTCAGCCTCTTCTTCTTCTTCTTTCGCACTTGTTGTGCCCCTTTTTTCTGATAACAACAAAAACAAAATAAACATTTTTCGGCTGCTCTTGCTCTGCTGCTTTCATCTCTTTTCCTCCTTTGCTCTTTGTTGATGCCTGTCCGAAATTATTTTTTAACCCCGAAATCAGGGAAAAGGTAGAAGGGTGGGTAGAAAGGAAGAGAGGAGCTGGGCGAAAGAGGAGCATAAAAATGACGCTGTCGAAATTGCGTCGCAAAAATTTCGCAAAAAGCCAGCAATGCCCAATAAAAAGAACAAGAAACAGAATCTGTCGCAACATTGTATGCTGCTTTGTAACAGCAGAGGTCAAAATATTAGGCTCACATTTTATTAAATTTCAAAAATTAATTAGTTTCTTTAGCCTCAAAAATACTTTAAACAAGAAATGGAGCCATGGGAATTTGTTTATGTCTGTAAAAGTAAAACTGAATATGATAATTGTTTACCATTAAGTAACAAGAGGAATTGGAATTTGTTTATGACTATTTCAAGAACCTGGGTTTCTGTGACAGAACCCTTAAAACGAATATACATAAATACAAACATTAGACGATTATTCAGATTCTCATAAACTTTTTGGGTTGAATGTTTTTTTTTTTGTAAAAAGTTTGGTTCTATAATTTCAACCACCACTGTCAGTCGGTTTTACAAAAACATTCTTATTGATGGAAAAATAAAATCGGATGACATGGGCATAAAGTGGCGGAGAATGCAAATAAACCTCGAGACGCCGAAAATAAAACAACAAAAAATTCGTAAGAAACAAGTTCGGCAGGCCGAAAAAGAAAACAAATTCACCCCCACCCCCAGTGGGCAGCTGTTTTCGTTTTCGGCTTTCCTCGTTTTTGTTTTTCTCGAATTTTCGGGTGCGTGCGTGCGTGCCGGTCGAGTTTCTCACGTACACCAAAATGCCTAGTTTTCCCAGTTTTGGAGCAAACAGCGCTTATCAAAACATTTAAATATTAACACTTTTAAAACATACATATGTATTTCTCTTTTTGGCATTATTTTGTTACCGCGACTGTATTTTTGTTTTGTATGTTTTTTGCTTTTGTTTCGCATTCGCCGGCAGTTTTTTCGTATTTACTTTTAATCGTTCTTCGTCAAGATCGTTTCTTTTAATTTTTTTTTCTTCTTTTTTTTTGACACTTACCTAAGTGCTCTTTCGGTCTCTCCCGCTGTCTTGCTCTATTGCTCTCCCTCTCTCTCTCTGATGCTGTTGCAGCAGAACAACAACAACAACAACAAACGATGCGACTGCAACGTTGGCCCACTGCAGTCGACGTCGACTGCGCTGCTTTTAAACGCTGAGGAGAGGAGCCTGTTTAATAGTGTTGTTGTTGCTTGTGTAGCCTTTTTCGTGGGCTCCTTTTCCTCTCTCTTTCTCCTATTGGCGTGGGGGGCAGAAAATGCACTAAAATCTCTTGTGGCTCACAGAAAAAAAAGGCTCCTTCACACACGCACACACACACTCGCACACCCACAACCTTTCAGTTGTTGTGTGTGTGTTGGGGAGCTGTTGCTACAAATATTTGTTGTTGCTATCGCCTGCAATGCTCCTTTCCTTCGCCTTGCTTTTGTTGTTATTACTGCTGAGCTGATTTTTTTGAACTTTAAATTTTTTTTATTTTGGAACAAAAAGGATTTAAGAACCGCTGAATTCTGATCAGAATAGTAACGCCGCACAACAACACTTTGACTGAGCGCGAGAGCAACGCGGCGCGCGCTTTTATAGCTGTTTGGTGAGCGAGCTCGACGAGAGTTACTCCCCCGGTTCGTGGGAAGAGAAGAGAAACCATCTCGTATTCACTGGAAATGCAGTGCTCTCATATTTCCAGCTCACTTTTAGCTGGATATTTTAATCTTTTTAGCTTAAAAACAAAACACACAATAAAATGCTTAAATTATTTGACATTTATTTATTATAACAGTTATTTAAATCATTTATAAAATAACTAAATTAATGCTTTGGGGTTGCCAGACTTTTGCAACTTAACGGCGCGTGTTTTTCAAACAGTTTCAAATATGAAAACGGAAAATAATCATTTAAATGTTTCTCTATTATAACTCAGCTTAGAACAAACATTCAAGAAATCTGAATTAATTTTGGGAATCACCAGGCAAAGTGTCAGTCCTGCAAATAAACTGGTCGGATTTAATAAAAATACGAAAATATTTTTTCTTCTGCTTTTAATAAGTTTAATCATTGATCATAATCTTTACCCATTGGTATTACAATAGATTGTAATATTATTTTAATGCTAAACCGTAATACATATGTACGTATAACGCGTATATAAACAAATGAAATGTTGAGTAAGAGCTGCTGCAGTGGCCATCGATTCGAAAGTTCCACGTTACATTTAAAGTTCAAATGATTTTGAAAACAATTTTTGAATAGTTCTAATTTGTATAACGCAATTGTAAATGTTATTCATTTAATTAACATTTCTCTTAATAGTTATAATGTGTGTAAAGCAATTTTACGTGTAATTATTTTTAATTAATATTTATTTTAATAGTTCTGATCTGTGTGACGCAATAGTAAGTAAAATTAATTAAAATTTCTGTTTCTTTCTATTTCTGTTTCTAGTTAAAATTATAAGGCAACAAACTATCGCACAACAGAGTGGCAACACCGCTACACAGCGGTTTCTTTCCAAGTAACGGCAAGAGGCAAACTATGGAAGGAGGAAAAACTAAACTAAAATCTAAGCGTTTTCTGATTTACCGTTTCAACTTTTAACTAATACTTTAATATATGATCTATATTTGTGCTAAGCTTAATGGTTATGAAAAATATATGTTTTGAACCGTTTCCTAGAATTCTTGAAATAGCGGTTCTACAAGAAAAAAATGGAAATTGAAAAATTCGCTGACCAAAGCGAAAAATAAAAAACCGACGAATCGGCACTCCTTCCTGGAAATGTATCAAATTACATATGAAAAACTTAAAGCGATGGCTACATGTTAGGGGGCTAAATATATAGAAATACGTATTAAGTAAGTATTGGCTTCTAGAACTTTTTTTCCAAGAAACGCCTGCGTTCGCGTTCGCGGAATTCGCGACGAGCGGCCGGCGGGTTTCCTTGGGGATTACGGATAATGAGTTCCCGCTCGCAATACCTCATGGGATTATAAGTCTGGACTGGCGGTTCGGCGTCCCAATCCTCGGTGGATTCCACCGTGAACTCACACGCCCTTGGTTCCACTGGGGGCAATACATCCGGCAACTTGTAGCGCTCGAGAGTCGATCGATTGGGGCACTCCAAGACATGTTTCTGCAAATCGGAGAAAGTCATTATAATCCATAAGTAGGACCCTTGTTTTGACGACCCAGACCCACCTGCATGTTGGCCACCGAGTACAAATGGGTTGTATTAAAGGGGCAGCGAACCATCTTGGCGGATGGATGGTTCTTGGCGCATCGGACCAAGTGATAGGTCAAACGGAGCGGTAGTATACGGTGAACGCTATCGTATGGGCACACAATGTACTCTTCGAAATTGGGACCGGCCACAGCATAATAGGCTTTGTCTTCAACCATTTTTACCACTTATTTTGTTAATTCTTTAAGAAACTCTTTTCCGATCCACCGCTATTTGGAAACTGAATTGTGGCGCTTGGAATAACCAAGATTGTCAAGGTATTAGTCATTTAGTAACTGATCTACATAGTATTTATACCAAATTTTTGGTATTTTACAATTTCGCAGCACTCGACAGCCCTATACGGCGTTGCCAGGTAGTTTTCGCATATCGATAAGCGATAGCCCGCCGATTGTCCGTTGTTTACACGTGCAGCCAGGTTTTTGTGTAATTTTCTAAATATTTAGAGCATTTAGCAACTCCAAGATGCCGCCCATTGCCCAGGAGGGCAATTGCCTGATTTACCGCGGCAGCAACTTCCTCAAGCAGCGGTTAATCCTCTCCTGCCTGTCCGGCAAACCGGTGAAGATCACCCTAATCCGCTCGGAGGACGAGATGCAGCCCGGTTTGAGGGAATACGAGATAAGTTTGATCCGGCTGCTGGACAAGATGACCAATGGCACCAAGATCGAGTTGAATCCCGCCGGCACGAGTGTCATGTTCACGCCGGGTTTACTGCACGGCGGACAGATCCATCATGATTGCTGTGTGCAGCGTGGGATTGGCTATTACTTGGATGCCCTGATTGCCCTGGGTCCGTTCTGCAAGAATTCGCTTAACGTCACTCTGCGTGGCGTGACCAACAGCAAGGATTCGCCATCGGTGGACCACATCAAGGGTGCCGCCTTGTCGCTGCTCAAACGATTCCTCCTGGTCGACGAGGGCCTCGAACTGAAAGTCATTCGCCGGGGAGTCGCTCCCCTGGGCGGCGGCGAGATCTTGTTTCGCTGTCCGGTGCGCAAGAGCCTGCGAGCCATCCAGTTCCAATCGCAGGGCATGGTCAAACGCATACGGGGCACCGTTTACGCCTGCAAAGTCTCGCCCGCCCTGGCCAACCGCACCGTGGAGGCTGCCAAGGGATGTATGCTCAAATTCCTGCCGGACGTATATATCTACACGGATCAGAACAAGGGCAAGATGTCGGGTAATTCCCCGGGATATGGAATCTGCCTGATTGCGGAGACCACAGACGGCGTGTGCTTCGCCGCCGATTGCAACTCGAACACAAGGGAGGAGTCGGTGAGTTTCGGCAGTTCCCCGACAGCCTTTAATGGAAACTAATGTACCAAAATCATAACCATTTCATTTATCCCCAAAGGACACCCCTTCCATACCCGAGGATTTGGGCAAGGAGGTGGCCATGCGTCTGCTGGACGAGATTTATCGCGGTGGCTGCGTGGATTCCAGCTACCAATGGCTGGCAGCACTCTATATAGCCCTGGGACAAAAGCACGTCTCCAAATTCCTCACGGGTATGGACTTAAGAACAAAACTATTCAGCATCAGCAGCTAATTTGGGTTTTATTTATCCATATTTAGGTGCTCTTTCAACTTACACGGTTTACTTTCTGCAACACCTGCGCGACTTTTTCTCAATCACCTTTAAGTTGGAGAATCCCGAGGCGGAGGATGAGGACGAAGCGGGGGATGTGCGAGGTGCCCAGAAGGTCCTTATGGCTTGTGTCGGCATTGGCTACACGAACATTAACAAGCGGGTTACATAAACTGTTTACTTGGCTGCCACTTTTAGGAATAAATGTATTTTTTTATGACAAATGAAAACGTTAAGTGTGTATAGAGGTTTCTTTTACTGGGTTAAGACGTAAAATATTGTAAATTAAGTGTATATATGTCCCAATTAGTATTTTTGTTTACTTAATTTATTTATAGCCCTGTTTTAATATGTCTTTTTTATGCAATACAATTTTATGCAACTGCAGCTGAAGCATTTTTGTTGAGCTAAACACGAACATATTCTATTTACCTTTCCAAAAGTATATTTATATTCAACGTCCAACATCATAAAAACCAACCTGATTTTGGCCGTAAGATTTATTATGCCATCAAATTTTCTATACTTGTATACAAAATTGCAGTAGCAATTGCATGCCATTTTAATATGCATATCTCTATTCAGCTGGCTGGCCATTGAATAGAATTTGGCTGGGTTCCAATCTCGCTGGAGGTCAATGCCGGGTTACGTCTCTCATTTGACGCAGGTGTTGCAAGTTTGTTGCCAGGTTCAAGTCTAATCAAGGGATCTGCACAAGTGTTTTAATCAATCAGCCTAGATTACAAACTGTGTGCAGATCAAAAAATTGTAAATGACCAAGTTTGTATTGAAAATATAAAAAAGGGTATATATTATGATACATATATATTTTAACTACTACGATATAGAGTTTGTGAGCAATGGATTGCATATCAATTTGACAATTTATGAATGAATTATCTTTACAAATTTTTTTGCTAGTGTGTAGAAAGGTTCAAAAACCTTTCAGTGATAACAGAACTGTTGGCAAACACATGCGAAATAAATCGGTTTTTGCAATTTTCCCTTGACTTGCACTTAAATTCCGGGTGGAAAAAAACTAGACTAGACTGACTGCACTTGGTCAGCAGAAAATGGTTCGCACAGCTATGGGGAACGGGAGCTATATAAGCCACGGGACGGTCTGGAAGTAGTCATCAAACGTCGTTCAACGTTTGGCCTGATCTGATCGAAATCCGGTTGCCCCGACAATGATGAGTCTGCGCCTGTGCCTGCTGGCCACCTGCCTCCTGGTGGCGGCCCATGCCTCCAAGGATGGCTCCAACTCGCAGATGAAGCCCACCCAGTGGCTGACCGCCTCCGAATTGGAGAGCATGCCCTCCCTCAACGACATCACCTGGGAGCGTCTGGAAACCCAGCCCCTGGAGCAGGGAGCCCACCTCATCGAGCAGATCTGTGAGTAGAAAAAAAGGGGAAAAACCTGTAGGGACTTACAAGTGGTTTAAAACCACTCATGGTTAAAAAACGTGTCTAAAAGTATGCTACGAAAAATTCTTCAATTTAAATATCAATTTTTTTGTAATTGTTTTTGATGTTTCAATCTTTAGAAGTTTTAAATTAGATATGTATTTTTAAAATGTTTAATACAGTGGTTTCACAGCTCTAATGGTTTAAAAGGTGTCTAAAAGTATGCTACGAAAAATTTTTGGTCCTAAAATATATATTTTTTTTTATAATTTCAAATTTCTAGATGTTTTCTAATTAAATTTGAATTTCTTTCAAATTCCCAGACCACGTTGGCCAGATCAAGCACGATCTGACCCCCAGCTTTGTGCCCAGCGCCAGCAACGTGCCCGTGTGGATCGTCAAGCCCAACGGCCAGAAGGTCGACTGCAAGCTGAACAACTACGTGGAGACCGCCAAGGCCCAGCCCGGTTTCGGCGAGGATGAGGTCACCATCGTCCTGACCGGCCTGCCCCAGAACAGCCCCGCCCAGAAGAAGGCCATGCGCAAGCTGGTCCAGGCCTACGTCCAGAGGTACAACCTCCAGCAGCAGCAGAAGAACGCCCAGGAGCAGCAGCAGCAGCTCAAGAGCAGCGACTACGACTACACCAGCAGCGAGGAGACCGCCGACCAGTGGAAATCCGCCAAGACCGCCAGCGGCGATTTGATCGTGAGTATAGAGCGGTTTATTCCTATGATAGGATCCCCTTTAAAAGAAAGATCTATTCCCCTTATCATCACTAATTATTAAGTTTTGGAGGTTTCAAATCTCTGGAGATTTCTGTGGCTTTTCCAATATATTTTGCATGGAACATATTATAGAGACTTTAAAATACCCATCTATCCCATCTATCCTTAACAAACTTTTGCTAGTAATTTCAGTCTTTAATTTTTATTTTTTTTAACAGATATATATATATATATTCTGAACCCCAATTGGCTACGATTTAAGGACCCCCTTTTAAAGAAAACTATACTTTCTGATCATAAGTAATGGTACACCCGTTTTATACTGTTTGTGTTGCACCAGACCTAGAGTAATGGTAGCCAGCAAAAGCAGAGCAGCTTAAGGGCTGTTCATTTTCTCTGCCGCAGCTCTACCAACACACACACAGTATACAATTTTAACGTTTTCTATTATAATTTACTATAATATTTGATTAATCTGCTTCACAGATCATCGACCTCGGCTCCACCCTGACCAACTTCAAGCGCTACGCCATGCTGGATGTGCAGAACACCGGCGCCATGATCGGCCAGACCCTCGTCGAGCTGACCAACAAGGGAGTGGCCCAGGAGATCATCCATTTGATCGGCCAGGGAATCAGCGCCCATGTGGCTGGAGCTGCCGGCAACAAGTTCACCGCCCAAACCGGACACAAGCTGCGCCGCATCACCGGTCTGGATCCCGCCAAGGTGCTGTCCAAGCGTCCCCAGACCCTCGGTGGCCTGTCCCGCGGCGATGCCGACTTCGTGGATGCCATCCACACCTCCACCTACGCCATGGGCACCCCCATCCGTACCGGTGATGTGGACTTCTATCCCAATGGACCCTCCGTCGGTGTTCCCGGTGCCGAGAATGTGATCGAGGCTGTGGCCCGTGCCACTCGCTACTTCGCCGAGTCCGTGCGTCCTGGTAGCGAGCGCAACTTCCCCGCCGTTCCGGCCAACTCCCTGAAGCAGTACAAGGAGCAGGATGGCTTCGGCAAGCGTGCCTACATGGGTCTGCAGACCGACTACGATCTGCGCGGCGACTACATCCTGGAGGTCAACCCCAAGAGCCCCTTCGGTCAGCGCAGCCCCGCCCACAAGCAGACCGCCTACCACGGCGTCCACCAGGCCCAGAACTAGGGTCATGCCCACGCATACCATGCAGTTCGATCGCCACGCATATCTGATACTCAGAGAACCCGCAACACGTAGGCTAGTTTGAAAAATCCATTAAGCAACCGAAAAAAAGAAAAAAACCTAAAAAATTCCATAAAAATAAACACTGCAAATTTTCGAAAAAAAAGTTTTTACCTTTGGAATTACCTATTACGGAATAATGGAACATGAAAGTGGGTTAAAATTTTGACCCCCTTTAACATTTAATATTTGAATGTAGATTGTTAGAGAATTCTACCACAAATTCATAGAGGTATCCCACTTTAAAATCGGAGTCCAATAACTCAAGTTATGGAATCTTGAAGTTCAGTTTTGGGTCACCATTCTGAAAACCATTGGAAATACGAAAAAATCGAACATGAAAATGGGTTAAAATTTGGACCCTCTTTAAAAGTCAATATTTGAATGTAGATCATTAAAGAATTTAAACACGAACTCATAGAGGTATCTCACTTCAAAATCGGAGTCCAATAACTCAAGTTATGGAATCTGGAAGTTCAGTTTTGGGTCACCATTCTGAAAACCATCGGAAATAGGAAATCTAACATGAAAATGGGTCAAAATTTGGACCCTCTTTGAAAATAAATATTTAAATGTAGATTATTAGAGAATCTAAACACAAACTCAAAGAGGTATCCCACTTCAAATTCGGAGTCCAAGAACTCAAGTTATGGAATTTTAAAGTGCAGTTTTGGGTCACCATTCTGAAAGCCATTTGAATTAAGGAAAAATCGAACATGAAAATGGGTCAAAATTTGGACCCTCTTTAAAATGAAATATTTAAATGTAGATTATTAGAGATTTCAATCACAAATTCATAAAGGTATCCCACTTTAAAATCGAAGTCCAATAACTCAAGTTATGGAACCTTGAAGTTCAGTTTTGGGTCACCATTCTGAAAACCATTGGAAATACGAAAAAATCGAACAAGGAAGTGGGTTAAAATTTCGACCCTCTTTAAAAAGTAATATTTGAATGTAGATTATTAGAGAATTCAATCACAAATTCATAAAGGTATCCCACTTTAAAATCGGAATACAATAACTCAAGTTATGGAATCTTAAAGTGCAGTTTTGGGTCACCATTCTGAAAAACATTGGAAATAGGGAAAAATCCAACATGAAAATGGGTTAAAATTGTGACCCTCTTTAAAACTTAATATTTTAATGTAGAATATTAGAGAATTCAACCACAAACTCATAGAGGTATTCCACGTCTAAATTAGGGTCCAATATCTCAAGTTATGGAATCTGGAAGTTCAGAATGAAAACCCACATCTGCAATCACAAATAATAACATTCAAGTATCCTGTACAAAGATCAAAAAAGCTTGACCTTTTAAAAAATAACTCCTGATGCTCTAAGTGGTAAAAAGAGAAGGACATACATTTGTACTTACAAGTGGAGTGGGTTGATGTGAGAGTGAGGCAACTAGTGTCAGTGTCCACTTGAAGTGCAGTCAACTAAAAATTGCACTTAGTTTACCGTTAGCATTTAAACATCGCTCGCCAACCTGTGCAAACTCAATTGTTTCTCTATTTTTGGGGCATGCGCCGTGTTAATGTCAAAGTTGAGCTTCATCACATGTAATAGACAAGCGATGAACTAGGAAAGGCAGTGAGTACGATTAAAAAAAGAGAAGGGGGAGATAGGGAGATGGAGTGACAGGAGCGGAATGTCAAGAGATGGCGTCTTTTGTTTGAGCATGTCGTGACATGTTTGCTTTGGCTCTGGCGGAACGGAATACGTCGTAATAGCTATCTAAAGCTTATCGCCAAACCGTACACCTAGAAAAGAGGGAAATGCTTTCTCGCTCCCCCTTGCCATCTTCCCTCTCCCTCTGTTTTCTTATGGCATTTTGCAAAGCTTGCAGCTTGCTTTCTCTCACCACCTTTCTCCCGAAAAGAGAGCGCACAAGGACGCCGGGACGTTGGCATTTCGCGGGGACCTCCAAGTTTCTTGCAGGAATTACACTTGTATTATTCATTGGCCGATATGCATAAATCCAATTTACGGAACCCCCGTTTTCAGCCTCGGCATCTGCGTCCCCTTAAATGAGAGAAAGCATTTCGCTGGCGTTTCTCGCGCGCTTTTGTTGCGCACAATTTGAAATACGGGGTGTTCCGCAAAACGTATGGCTTTTGGGACTCAGATTAATTAAAAATATACTAAATAAATTTAAAAAAAAACATGACTAGGTAGATATACATATTGAAAATATATTAAAAAATCTATGGATCGGTCAAAGCGAACGAATTTTAAGGGTCTGTGTAAAGTCTATCACTCATACGCACTGTTACCTTTAATTAAAACTTTATTTTAAAATAGGTGGCGTACATTATAACCTAACATTTAACAATTATTTCAATAAAATGTATTCATTTAGGAATGGAAAACATGATTTTTTTATATACTCTTTATACTTAATTCAAACTGGCATACGTGTCGTATTAGTAATTTCTAGGAAATTTTGAAATAGATTTTTTTAAATTTTCAAATACATTTTTGCCCATCAAAATATATTAAATTTTAAGTTAAGACTGAGGTTCTACATTTTGGAGCAACCAACTTCTTTATTTTTAAATACGCAGATGATATGACTTGACAACTCTGGAGATTTGCCACCCAAATCTCTTTTCGGAACGCCCCCTCTCTCTCTCTCCAGCGCTCTCTCCGCTCCCGCTCTTTCTCTCTTGGCTTTTCTCAGCTGCTTTAGCCTCGTCTGCTTTCGGCGTTCGTTCAGTTTTTGGCGTTTAGTCAGTTTCAGTATTTCAGTTCGGTATTTCAGTTCAGAATCGAAACGCGAGCCGAGTCGCAAGTTGGCCGCCGCGCAGCGCGTGCTGTTTTTTTTCAGTGTGTACGTTTTGATTGCAAAAAGAAATAAGCAAAAGCGACGCTGAAAACATTTTTCATCTGCGGCCTGGAAAAGCGCCCCAAGGAAAATGAATAGATAAATTGTGTTAATCGCCCCATCGAGCCAGCAAATATTCACTGTATATTTATATTTTCTCGTGCGTACTTTTTTTTTGTTGCCCGTGGGCAACGCTCTTTTGTTGTTAATTGTGCAGCTGCCCGCCTGCGAATGATAAAAATGTGAGTTTCCCAAGAAAGTTTGTGCGTTTTTTGCTGCTCTTTTTTGTTTGTTTGTTGGGGAGACTAAATAGTTTATTAAAAATGCGCAAAATTAAGGATAACGGTGCTTGTGTGTGTGTGTTTGTGGGTGGCAGCTGCGTAAATGCGTAAGCTGCGTTGCGTATGTGTGAGTGTGTGTGTGTGTTGGCTGTGGCCAGGTCTCAAGGTCCCGTTAGCTCTCTCCCACCTCTCTTCCTCTCCGCCCCCACTCTCTTGCTCACTTCACCAAACAACAACAAGTCTGTGATAAGAATTTTCCATGCGTAATTTTCACGTAAAGCTTTGTTTTGTTTGGTTTGAAATGCAGGTTTTTCTTTTAAGCGGATTAGGGTCTTAATTACATATATTTGTACAAAAGATGTGGGGTTTTGTAATAGGCATGCTTTGCATAGTAAGAAAAAAGATCTTATTCCTCTATAGACTTTAAAAAATTGTGTTTTTTAAGTTGACAGCTTTAAGGTTTTAGATTAAATAGTTTATAAAATAAAATACCAAAACTATATTATACTACATACCAGATGCTATGATATGTAAACAAAAACCACTCTATACTTTATTCCAAAAAAAAAAAAAGAAGTGCGTATTATTCATCTAAAAAATGTTTAATTCATTGTTATTATGTTAGATTTTGTTGGATTATATTCGGAATATTTTTTGATTTCTAACATATTGTCCTAATAAAATACTTAAATATGTTATATTGAATATTTTTTAATTGCCGTGATGACACTGATTTTAAAATTTGTATCTACTAGGAAACATTTTGAATAAATACTGAAAAGTTTTTTTCTAGTATGTTTTTTTTAAGATCCTTAATTTTTTATACTATACAGAAATACTAGCTAATATGATATCATGATCAAAATGTAAAATATTTTAAGTAAACCTTTGAAAAAAAAATTCTTTTGTTGACTTAAAAATACAATTGTCTTCCTTGTTTCAAATTGAATGGAAATAATTCCTTAAAATACATGGAAAGATTCTTTTTTAAGCTTGGCTCTGGAATGCTTTCTGCGTTTGTTATGTTTTTATTTCGCTGCTCGTTGTATTTACATATAAATTATTAATAAGCCCAAAGCGTGCCACAGGTGTGCACAGAGGAGTGAGAGGGACGGAGAGAGAGAGAGTGGGGCAGAGAGAGAGCCAGAGAGAGAAGAGCAGCTTGACCTTTTTTTGCTCTTTCTCTAATTTAGCTCACTAAACTTGAGACTCGGATTTAATAGGCTTTTTATTTTTGCAACCTTTGCTCTCTTTACGTGCCCGCTATTTTTGTCTCTGTCCCACACTTTCGGTTATTTCCGCTTGAGTGCGTCTCTTGTTTCTTGTTTTTGTTTTCATTTCGCATTACCGTTTTTCTGCGCTTTTTTCTACACCTTTATTTATTGTATTGTATTCCTTGGTCAATTACCATGGCAATTTATTTATCAGTTTGGCATTGTTGTTGCCACAATTGCGCAAGTTTATTTTCCCCATTTTTGGCATTTTTTATTTGTGCACTATTTGAGCTACGTTTGCCAGACTTAATAAAAAAAAAGGTTTCCTCAGAATTTTTACACTGAGGAAAAATATATAACATTCGATTCAGAAACACATTAAAAATATTATAGTATGAAAAGTTAAAATAAAGATACTTTTACAATGTAAACTATAGGATCAAAAAATTTATTTCGTTTTATTTTTTATTATTTTGCAAGTTATATTTTTTAAAATATTTGTTGATGGATTTTTATTTATTTTTTTCCGTGTATACCCTTGTTTTACCCTTTGGTCACATCATAAAAAAAAATTGCTAAGCTGAATGACAAAATCCATCATAAACACAACAACAACCACAAGGCTACGTGCACTTTGGCCAGCTTTTTTTATAGCCAACATTTGTGTGCGTTTGTAATTTGTTTATTGATGCACAGTGGGTCAATTATTATTTTGTTGCTACCCTTTTTAAATAAAACGTAGGTTTACCTATTAATCCCCTTTTAAAAAGCTTAAATCTAATCACAAAGATTACACATTTTTTATTATTCCCATAAAATAAGCACTGCTGTAATAAATCGTATCACTGCAAAACCTTTTCTCATCATGATTATTCACAAAGCTTATCTTTTTCAACTCTAGATTTAATATACAATTGTGTGCATATTAATTTTTATATTTCTTTGTTTGTTTGTAGAGATATAATATCGCGCGATAAAGAAGCAAATTTCATAAACTGGCGAAAGAATTTTTTTTAACCACAATTTTACTTTACAAAAATTGTTTATATTATCCAGAGATGTTTAAGTCTATTTCTATGAATAGTAAAACTACTTACTGGAAATACCTTATCAACATTTTACTTTACTTTAAATCATTTCGGTATTTACTTAATTTTTTTAATTTTCGTATTTAGAGTTATATGTAAATATATAATTTTGAAATATCAAGTATTTTTTTGTCCTTGGAGGACAGTATTTTTTTGCACAAGAATAGATGATCCCACATGGATGATCCAATTTCAACAACCTTTGACCCAGTGTAGCAAAGAAAATCTGTCGGCGCATTTTCTGTGTCACAAAATGTAATTATGCTAAGAAGGCGAGGGGTGGCAAACGAGGGGCGGAGAAAGCAGAGGAAAGGGGGCGTGGCGTGGTGTGTGGGGGGGGGGGGGGGGGCAAAAGAAAGCGGTGGCCATATTGTTGGGGCTTACGATGTAACTGCCATGACATAAACATGTGCATGTCTGTGTTCGTGCTTTTTTTCCCTCTTCTCGCTGTGCCCAATAATTATTGATTGACTGCCCCTCAGTATCGCGCCTCTTGTTAAATCATCCCCTTTCCCACTTTCCCTCTACATTGTACATGCATATCTTATCACCATCATATAATATTTAAAATTATAAAGAACCTTATAGGGTAATAACCTTACCACATAACACAAAATTGTTTTTTATTTTACATAATTGTTATCAAAAACCGTATAACTCCTCAAAAATATATAGTATCTTATCTTTATGTTCCTTATAAAAAATTAAAAATGAGAAAAAATGCACTCCCTTTCGCATGGACTCCATTTTTAACAAAGGTTTAAAATAACACTTTTTAAAGTACCTATTTGCTAATGCGCAAAATTACTGAGTATTTTTACAGAACACCATTCCCATCAATTTTGAATTTTCCCCTACCCAATTTCCCGACCGTCACACAATTAGCACCAATTAAAAAGAAAGCTCTTTTGGGATCCATAAATTGGAAGAGGGAATACAATAACATTTAATTAGTAGCTAGACAAATTTGTGGTCGAGATAAATGCAAGATAAGATCTAAACAGATTATGAGTCTAATGAAGGTCATTAGCGGCGGAAGTTGACAGTTTGTAACGAGTGTGGAGAATAGATTAAATCCAAAAAGTTAGCGTGCTAAATAGAATAAAAGAAGAGAACTATAGGTATTAAATTGCTGGCATTATAAAATCAGTATTTCGTAAAAAAAAGCGAGTGCATTTTGTACGTTGTTTGCAGTAGCAAGGTATAAAGGTATATTAAGATTAGATTACATAAAAGAATGCAATCTTTATCAACATTCCTTAGGTGAAATAAAAAGTTCTTCTTTTAAATTTTAAAGATTAATATAAAATCTTAGTTATAAGAAGTAAGGGGTAAGAGTTTGGTTTAAACTTCTTTCAGTTGTTTTAACCAATACTCACTGTAATTACCGCCACCCATATCAAAAGGTACCCAATTAATATTTATGCACGGGAATCCATCACTTCATTATCGGCCATAATGATAATTTCCCTATCGCTGTTTGTATTCACAAAGCACTCGACTTTAACACGTGTTCGCCTGCCCATTTTCCAGCCCCTAAATTAGCCACCCACCATCCACCATTGCCCACAAGCTGCACTCCCTCCAGTTTTTGTCACATTCCGATAGGTCAAAATGCGATGCAAATGCGTCAGACCACGTCCTATGGCTCTTTCCCTCCCTCTGGGCCCATCAGTTGGTATTGCTGTTGTCAGCAGTCAACAATAAATCCAATTAGCAAAAAAGATAGGAAAGGTAGAAATGGTTCAAGGTAAGAACAGCAACGAAATTGCACGATAAACTGAATTTTAGCTTAGCTTTAGTCAGTGCTGGCATTTTTTCTACAAGACTTCAGTAGAACTAGGTTGGTTTTAGGGTGTTTGAAAAAAGAAAGTATTATAATATATCTTATAATATTTATAATACTAATTTTAGACTAAAACATTTTTTGGTATTTTTAGTATTTTATAGTATTTTTTACAAGCTCAACAATTTGTATATTTTTTTATTATAAATAAAATATAAAAAACAAGGGTATAAAGCTATACTGTCAGCATTGGCTGTTGTTTCTGAAATGTGAGACCGTGCTTGACCTTATCGGGCACTCACTTCTTGTTGTTGTCATTTAATTGACATTGCCCCTTGTCTCGCTACCAAAACCCCTGAGAGTCCTCAAGTCACATCCGATTATCTAAAGTGCCTGTCAAAGACTTTCCCTTCGTGTTGCCATGTTCCCATTTTTGCTGTCACTCTCGAAATCAATAAATAAAATGGTAATTTACATTTTAGAACTCTCCCATTAGTACTACCCATTTGACACGGGACCAGCAAGTGACCCAGAAAATTTAGCAATATCAAAGGAATTATAGAATGAAATAATGCGAAATGTGGGTTAGGTTAATTATTTTTTTATATTATATAAAGGACATGTAGAATCCATTACAGAGTTTTTAAGTTCGCGAATAAAGCATGTTCTGAAGAATTCGCGTTTTCTTAATAAACTTTTATAGAAGTGGAAGACTCTTCAAGATCATGAGTAAAAATGTATAAATAAACATTTCAGTTAAAATAAGTATTTTCTGTGTCTATTTTGGAAGCATAGCTTTCATAAAGGCTCTGTTTAAGATTACTCTTTGAAGATCAAACCTCAATAAATAGCTTTAGCATGTTTATAATTTTTAATTGCGTATGCAAAGCTATTTTCTTTCTCTTCAAATCTTTTCAGCTCGTTTATAGCTAATTAATTTTGGAATTATTACCCGATTTTTCATTTGAACTTCTGCACTACTCAGTAAACAGCTATAAATAGAATGTTTAAAGAAAAACACGACCTAATAGCATATGTACCCTATAAATTACTCTATTATTTTTTTAGTGTGATGAATTTCAATTTAAGTGTTTGAGAGAGATGGGTTTATATATAATATAAGAAGGAAATAATGATATAGGTATTTATTTTTTCCCGGAACATAGTTTCATGAACTTGGTTTTCAGGCTGCTCGTTCAGTTAAATGTCACACTGGCACAAGGCAGAAGCCATAGCAACTAGCACACCTACATGTAGACCTCCGGCCCCGGACGAAATATCTATATACCCGCTGACTAACCTCGCCTCGTTTTCCGATTTTCCGATTTCCTCATATCGTCCAGGTCATAGACGACGTGTCCCCCGACCCCCACAAACCCCCCTCTAAAAGCGTCGGACGACTGCGTCGCCTCCACATCATCCAGCCATGACCAGAGGCAATCGATGATTGCCATTCCCTCAGCCAACGAGAGCCAATAGAGGCAGCCGGAAGAGCCCGCCATTCGAACACATCAAAAGCCGGAGGAGGAGCAGCAGCAGGAGGAGGGGCTTCCCCCTTTTGAAAGCCAAGGACTAAAGTCACGCGGTCAACATGCTGATCAAGGAGTACCGCATTCCACTGCCCCTCACCGTGGAGGAGTACCGCATCGCCCAGCTCTACATGATAGCGGTAAGACCTTGTATTCAAGTTCACAAAAGAACATTAAAATACGTATAGGAGAATAATTCCTATATATGAAAGTGCATTAAATTAAATACGACAAGTCGTATGAGGGGAACGTAAACTTTAAAGGATTCTTAGTAACATTGGCTAACAAAGTTTTGGTACAAGATATTTATATTGTATGATATTATATTATGATATTTTATTATGATATTATGATAGGAAATAAACTCCTATATATGAAAGTGCATTAAATTAAATATGACAAATCGTATGGGGGGAACGTAAACTTTAAAGGATTCTTAGTAACATTGGCTAACAAAGTTTTGGTACAAGATATTTATATTGTATGATATTATATTATGATATTTTATTATGATATTATGATAGGAAATAAACTCCTATATATGAAAGTGCATTAAATTAAATATGACAAATCGTATGAGGGGAACGTAAACTTTTAGGAATTCTTAGTAATATTGGCTAACAAAGTTTTGGTACAAGTTATTTATATTGTATGATATTATATTATGATATTTCTCCCCAAAAATATTAGTTTTCAGTCCCGTTTGGGGGGTTAAACATCATTTCAGATCAATATTTGCCAACATTGCTTAGAATCCTTTAAAGATTACGTTCCCCCATACCATTCCTAGGACCCATCTCGAACCACCCTAATATACTTGTATTTTGAAGCGGTACTTTTTTACGAAAATATATTTAAATATATACAATTTATAAATAGATTACTCCATTTTATTACGGTGGTTATAATCAATTCTTGTTTTATCCAAACGTATATATTATATCTAAATACATGCAATTTATAAATAGATTGCTCCTGTGACCAACAAAAGAGTTATTTTTAATTTTAACCTGTCTACTGTTCTGTTCTGTCTGCTTATAAAAAAGTTAAGAGTAGGAGTACAGCTTAATTTTGGAGTTAGAAATAAAATCTAATCGATAATCAACTCGTTGAAAACAAATGCAACCTTAAACGAAAAATATAAAAATGTTAATAATAGTTTTAAAAGGCAAATTAAGGTTAATTAGTTTGAGTACAGCTCAGCAGTAAAAAACAGTCACGTATGGGTATATTAATAGCTATAAAACTGCCTATTTATATTTGTAATGAGCAAAAACAAATTACAAAAGCTGCCGGGGTAAAAGTACAACAATTTTCAAATATAATCTTTGAGCGTTCCAAAATGTACCAAGTGTCTAGAATTGTTTATTCGCTTTGTGCGCATTCGATTTATTTACAAATATTTCATATAGCCAATATTTATTAAACGTTTCCACCGGAAATTCATTCAATGTTCCTCAATAGATGTGTAGCTCATTTGTTTGGACCATAATAATCGCTTAAAACTGATTTTCTATCCACAGAAAAAAAGTCGCGAGGAGAGTCATGGCGAAGGCAGTGGAGTTGAGATAATCATCAATGAGCCCTATAAGGACGGACCCGGCGGAAATGGTCAGTACACGAAGAAAATCTACCATGTGGGCAACCATCTGCCTGGCTGGATCAAGAGTGAGTTGTATTTTATTAAGATTTTATAAGGTTTATAACTATTTAACATATTATCCAAAGGTCTCTTGCCCAAGAGCGCTTTAACTGTGGAGGAGGAGGCGTGGAACGCCTATCCCTATACCAGGACTCGCTACACCTGCCCATTTGTGGAGAAGTTCTCGCTGGACATTGAGACATACTATTATCCGGATAATGGCTATCAGGATAATGTCTTCCAGTTGTCCGGAAGCGATCTGCGTAACCGCATCGTGGGTCAGTCTGAATAATATATGATTTATTTTAAATTTTTCATGCTTTCAAGTATTTATATAGCACAATCTTTGTACCTACATATGCTAGTGAGCAAAGGTATTTTCACAGAATTTAAGTTCAACCCACTCAATATTTAAATATCAATGGAGCTCATTTAAATACTGATTGAATGATACAAAACTTTTCTTAATTCATTTAGGACCCATTAAAAATGTCGAATTTTGGTTATTTTTGTTAAAAGTTACTCTTTGAACTTTTTTCTGGGCTTAAATAAAAAATGTTCGTTAAACAAAAGTTTCTCCTAACAAAAGTCAAACATTTTTGTTTCAAATTCAATTATTTTATTTATAGTTTATCTCTTAAAAATGTTGTTAAAAAGGTAGGAAAAAATATCTCGAATGGAAATTGTTACCTATTTTCAAAATACTTATGCCTACAAGTGTCTACAATATTACTAGCCTTTTGAATATTCAAAAGAAATTACCTTGCAATAGTTATAAGAATAACTAACTTGAACTCATCCCTTATGTTTGTTACTAGTTGGGAAATCTATTTTAAAATCCCTTATATTGCCCTTGCAGATGTGATTGACATTGTGAAGGACCAACTGTGGGGCGGCGACTATGTGAAGGAGGAGGATCCCAAGCACTTTGTGTCTGACAAGACAGGACGTGGACCCCTCGGCGAGGACTGGCTGGAGGAGTATTGGCGCGAGGTGAAGGGCAAGAAGCAGCCGACGCCACGCAACATGTCCCTGATGACCGCCTACAAGATCTGCCGCGTGGAGTTCCGATACTGGGGCATGCAGACGAAGCTGGAGAAGTTCATCCACGATGTCGCGCTGCGCAAGATGATGCTGCGCGCCCACCGGCAGGCGTGGGCGTGGCAGGATGAATGGTTCGGCCTAACCATCGAGGATATCCGCGAGCTAGAGCGACAGACCCAACTGGCCTTGGCCAAGAAAATGGGCGGCGGCGAGGAGTGCAGCGATGGTCAGTCCGATGTGGCCACCTCCACCATCTTAGCATCCACCTCCACATCACCACAAACCCTTGCCAAATTGTAAACGTATTGATTTGCACAAATATCAAAGATATCCTAAAGAATGTTCAATAGATTGGATTCGTTTTTACAGCAACAGGGTATTTTGATTTCTTTAATTCCAAGGATTTCATAAATTGACAAATTTGTATTGTATTGCCATGTTAAAATGTACAAATTAATGGTGTAAAATGATTTAAGATGCTTATTTTTAGCATATAAGAGATAGCAGTTAGACAGAGTTTCATTCTACGTACATTTTTTGGTATTTTATCCAAAGGTAAACCAGAAAGCCATGTTGAAATGTACAAAATAACATTGTAAAATGATTGTAGATTCTTTTTTTCATATACTAGAAGGGAGTTAGATAGGGCAAGGTTCACTTAAATTTTTAAATTGTCATCCCCCTGATCATTCACACATTATTCCATGCTTTTTAAGGATTTTCCTTCGATAGATTCTCTAAAACCTCATATTTCTCCATTGCAGACAGCACATCCGAGCCGTATGTGAGCACGGCGGCCACCGGTGCCTCCACAACGGGCAGCGAACGCAAGAAATCCGCTCCAGCCATACCGCCCATCGTCACCCAGCAACCGCCGAGCGCCGAGGCCAGTTCGGATGAGGAGGAGGGCGAGGAGGAGGACGACGACGAGGACGAGAACGACGCCATTGGCACGGGCGTGGATCTGTCCGCCAACCAAGGTGGATCCGCCCAACGATCCCGCTCCCAGAGCATCCAGATGGCCCAGAAGGCCAAGTTCGGTTCCAAGGGCGCCCTCCACTCACCGGTGGGATCTGCCCACAGCTTTGATCTTCAGGTGAGCAGAACTCGAAGTCCTTGGTTTTTTGTCCAATCTCCTTTTTTATCTCGATGTCAATTTCGTCTGTTTACTGTGGGAATGGAAGTTTTTACTAGTTCCGTGTTTTTTATACACATATTTACCTCTCTACTTTGTGTGTTACTTGAGAACATGACTAATATTTGACTGGAGAGTCAGCGAATTTAATTGTTTCCTGTTTTAAAATATATCTTTAAAAAATTATATTGTTGGTATTTTTCTAAGATCACTATAAACTGTTATATGTATTTTTCTGAAGTATATATATTTAAACTATTTTACAAATTTAACATTCCAAGTGCAATCATTTTTTTTATGCACTTAGGTTAAAACTTTCTTCTAGTTTTCAATATTTTCTATAAAAAAAACCCCTCTATTCTGTCTCTGTGTTCGATTTTCTGTGTGTTGTGAGTCGCTTTGTCCTTTAAATGTGCTGCGTCTTACCAAATAATCTTTAATTTACCTTCCATCCAACACGATCCACCGACAACAACTACAACACAATAAAAATAAACACCAAAATCAATCAAACTATAAAAACAAATTAATTCTCAAAACAAAAAAAAACACCAAACCAAACATAAATAAACCCATAAAAATCGAAAAACAAACCAAAATCAGTCCAAAAAGCCGCATGCAAAGACAGCGCCACGCAGACATGTAAGTTCCTCTTCCCCTCTCTGTCACTCTCAATATATTCCCTGTCTCCCTCTTTTTCGTTACTAGTAATTTAGCCTAGCTGTTCTATTATCCCGTCATTATAAATAGTATAATATATATACGAAAACCCCCTACAAAACTCATCTTTTATTTCCCCTAGTAATTTGCTTAGTCGCAGTTTTTGATTAGCCAAGTTCCATTAGCTTAGCTTACGGCTGTTACCCAATGCCTCTTTATAGAGTTTTCTTTAGAAAGAATCGATGAAATATAGTATAACTATATAAACAATGCGATGCTCTAGTGTTTGTAAAGGTATTAAATCAATTTACGTTCATCGCAGGTGGCAAACTGGCGCATGGAGCGATTGGAAGTAGACTCCAAATCCAATTCGGATGAAGAATTCTTCGATTGTTTGGGTAAGATTTGGAAATATTTAAATATATTTACGTGTAAAATTAAAAGAAGATATTCAACAAGAAATTAATTGTATTAAAAAGCGATGGATTTATCATGAAGAATTCGCGTCATTTAAAATGTTACTTTAGCACTCTAAACCGCGAATTCTTTAGAACCATTCAGGCTTAATAAAATACCATAAAATAGATACTTAAACATATTACTTATCGTATTTTTTTTCTTAATAGATACCAATGAGACGAACTCGCTGGCCAAGTGGAGCTCCCTGGAACTGCTGGGCGAGGGCGACGACAGTCCGCCGCCACATGGCGGTCCCTCTAGCGCCGCATCCGTGGGTGGACGTGGCAATTCCCGGCAGGAGGACAGCATCTTCAACCAGGACTTTCTGATGCGCGTGGCCTCGGAGCGCGGGAACAAGCGGCAGCTACGCTCCTCGGCCAGTGTGGATCGCAGCCACGATTCCTCGCCACCTGGATCACCGAGCACACCGTCATGCCCCACCACCATCCTGATCCTGGTGGTCCATGCGGGCAGTGTTTTGGATGCGGCCAGCGAGCTGACGGCCAAGAAATCGGATGTGACCACATTCCGCGGCTCCTTTGAGGCGGTGATGCGCCAGCACTATCCGAGTCTCCTCACCCATGTGACCATCAAGATGGTGCCGTGTCCCTCGATTTGCACCGACGCCCTGGGCATTCTCTCCAGCCTGAGTCCGTACTCCTTCGATGCATCACCCTCGGCGGCGGATATACCGAATATAGCCGATGTCCCGATTGGAGCGATACCCCTGCTATCCGTAGCATCGCCGGAATTCCATGAGACGGTCAACAAGACGGTGGCCGCTGCCAATATTGTCTATCATGAGTTCTTGAAATCGGAGGAGGGCCACGGATTCTCCGGACAGATTGTGATGCTGGGCGATTCAATGGGTTCACTGCTGGCCTACGAGGCCCTGTGCCGATCCAATGGCAGCCAGCCGGGCACGGCATCGGGTGCCTCGAATTCTGGTGGAGATGCGGCTAGCAATATAAATACCCACAATCCGTTGGGCCCACGTCATTCGCGTTTGGACGATGATGAGCGTTTTATCGAGGCCGATTTGGATGCCAAGCGCTTGCTGGTGGCTCCATCGCCACGTCGACGTCGTTCCAGCTCGTCGAGCGATTCGCGAGCCTGCAAACTGGACTTTGAGGTGTGTGATTTCTTCATGTTCGGATCGCCGCTGTCGGTGGTGCTCGCCGCACGGAAACTTCACGATGCCAAGGCCGCTTTGGCCAGGCCCAACTGCCATCAGGTGTACAATCTGTTCCATCCAACCGATCCGATTGCCTCGCGTCTGGAGCCGCTCCTTAGCGCCCGATTCTCCATTCTGTCGCCGGTTAATGTCCCGCGGTACGCCAAGTATCCGCTGGGAAATGGTCAGCCATTGCATTTATGTGAGTGATTAGTATTTGAATTGTATAGTTAACAATTTTTTGAATGTTTATCTTTTATGTATTTTGCAGTGGAGGTGATTCAGTCGCATCCGCAGCACTTTAACGATGGCAACAACCTGTTGGCCGGTCGCCGATTGTCGGACGCCTCGATGCAGAGCACGATATCGGGTCTGATTGAGAATGTCTCGCTTAGTACGATCCATGCCCGTAAGAAGCTCGTTATCCGCTAGAAGCTCTAATACTCTCCAAATATATATATTCCCTAATAATTAAATCTATATCTCCCATCCACAGTTCAAAACAAATGGTGGGGCACCAAGCGCTTGGACTACGCTCTATATTGCCCGGAGGGATTGAGCAACTTTCCCGCTCACGCCTTGCCGCATCTTTTCCATGCCAGCTACTGGGAGAGTCCGGATGTGATCGCCTTCATCCTGCGGCAGATTGGCAAATTCGAGGGCATACCCTTTGTGGGCTCCAACGATGACAAGGACAATGCCTCCTTCCATCCGGGACAACCGAGGGAGAAGTGGATCAAGAAGCGTACGTCGGTGAAGCTGAAAAATGTGGCCGCCAATCATCGGGCCAACGATGTGATCGTCCAGGAGGGCAGGGAGCAGCGTCTGAATGCCAGATTCATGTACGGACCTCTCGATATGATCACACTGCACGGCGAGAAGGTGGATGTGCACATTATGAAGGATCCGCCGGCGGGCGAGTGGACATTCCTCAGCACCGAGGTGACGGACAAGAATGGTCGCATCTCGTACAGCATTCCGGATCAGGTCTCCCTGGGCTATGGCATTTATCCCGTGAAGATGGTGGTCCGTGGCGATCACACTTCGGTGGATTGCTATATGGCGGTGGTGCCGCCCTTAACCGAATGCGTGGTCTTTAGCATTGATGGATCCTTCACGGCTTCGATGTCAGTGACGGGCAGGGATCCCAAGGTACGTGCGGGAGCCGTCGATGTCTGTCGCCACTGGCAGGAGCTGGGCTACCTGCTCATCTACATCACCGGGCGGCCGGATATGCAGCAGCAACGCGTGGTGTCCTGGCTGAGCCAGCACAACTTCCCGCACGGCCTGATCTCGTTTGCCGATGGTCTGTCCACCGATCCACTGGGCCACAAGACAGCCTATCTCAACAATCTAGTGCAGAACCATGGAATCTCAATTACCGCCGCCTACGGCAGCAGCAAGGATATAAGTGTCTACACCAATGTGGGCATGCGTACCGATCAGATCTTCATCGTGGGCAAGGTGAAGGCTGGTTCTTTTTATTATAAGTTAAAATCTACAGCTAGTTGTAAACGATGCAGCGGTTTTAGGAATATAGTTTAGGAAGTACCTCAAATGATATGTTTTGAAAGGTTGCCGCTTCATCGTTTACAACCTGCTTTTGTCATTAACATTTTATAACAATTTGTTGTTCCTTTCACAGGTTGGCAAGAAACTGCAGTCCAATGCCACTGTGCTGAGCGATGGCTATGCCGCCCATTTGGCCGGATTGCAGGCGGTGGGTGGTTCGCGTCCCGCCAAGGGGAATGCCCGCATGGTCATCCCCCGCGGATGCTTCAATCTTCCCGGCCAGACCGCGAATCCGCGGCGCAGAAGGTAAGACGCTGTGGCCACTAGCCAGTGGCGCTGCTTGCGATGATCCACTGTACTGAGCGCACCCACTGTAACGCCCGATCCTCGCTGTATATACATATCTGTGTTTGTGTTTAGTGTAAATAGGCCAACGCATTCGTGTATGTTAATGTTATATGTTTTGTGTACAGTGTAATGCCTTTAGCTGGTTAAAATGTTCAGGGAAAATATGAATTCAGGGATATAGGTTTTGTCATAGCTATTTAGAATAGGTAAAAAGATTTTTATAAAAATTGTACTTAATTTAAATGTAGTACCAAAGGTAGAAGCTTCCCTATATTACAAAAAAACAATCAATCTTAATATGGAAACATCCATTTATAGCATATTCATTTTCTTATTTTTAATCTGCCAAAGGAAAAAAACAGGTTTAGCAATTATTTTCATGTTTCATTAATATTATAAAATTATTAAAAGCTAGCATTGACATTGTTTTAAACCTAACAACGAATTAAATCTAAATCTAAATAAATATTATACTCATTAGGGGATAGGATACATTAAAATTGTAAATTATAGAAAACGGGAGAAAACAGGAAATATACTAACATAAGTCTATATAATTACATTTTTAAACCAGATAGTTTTCAAAGGAATTGTCATTCCTAAGACTTTAAAGAAATGGATACAGCTAAGGGCATTATACCTGTATTCCATTGGAAACCGCTTTGTTAATGTAAACATATTTTGTGTGGCTTTTTGTTTATTGTGTATTTATGTTTTGGGTCGCATGGCCGTTTATTTTGTGAGTTGAGTCTTTGTTTGCTTCGGCCCTCGAAACGATGCAATGATATAACCCATCCATCAATCCCATCCCACTAAACGTTATTGTAAACGCCTTCTTCGGGCGGGGAAAGGCCCCGCTCGGAATGAGAAATCTCTTGCCAAGAACCGAATCTCCAGTTCCAAACCACCTAATCACGCCCTTTTCCCTTGCCCAACCAATGTGACAACCTGCAGCAATGCTTTCGAGCTGCAATTGGCCAACATCAGTCCCTGCAGCAGCAACATCAACAGTCCCAGCAGCAGCAACCACATCCTACTGGCCCAACTGATTGAGAATGCCATTGAGAAGGACACGCCAGCTGGCTAGGAAAATTATTAAATTAGATGAACATGTTTTTTGTTTGGTTTCCCAATCCTGATTTTAAGTTAATCAATTGATAGTCTCATCCATCCCTCTCAAAAAACTAGTCCGCCACGAATCGTATTGTATTGTATTTTATTATTTTACAACCTTAAGTTTCACGTAGAACAAATGCCGTATTATTTATGCTATAAGTTATTACTATATTATGATTATAACTATTATGATTACTGCGTTTATGTACTATCCCTACTTGTATTTGTATGATATTATTTTGTTTGCGAGCAAAAGCCAAAATGCAACAAAACCTATAAAAAAAAAATACGTACGCCAGTATGTAATACCAAATAAATAAAAGCAGTACAGTAAATGGGCCTATTGGGCATATGTATCCTATATAGTATATATACATATATGATTTATAATGTTTCGATTACGATTTGTATCTTTTCTTTGTTTGTTCCTTGATTTACGGATAACCAATACAACAAAAATAATAATAATACCAAAAAAAACGCTTTACGCTTCACGGCCTCGAAACCCACCACGCTGTTCAAAACCCACCACGCCGACAATTACACCCCACACAAAACACACCATCAGGCTGCATGAACAAGCAACGAATGAAAATTAAATTGCAACTTAAACAAACAATAGTAAATTGTTTAGAGCAATAAAAGCAAACAATAAAAGCATCTTGTAAACAGATAGAAGCGAAACAAAAACCAAAACAATACAGACAATTGATGTTAGTTTTAGTGTTCTAGAATATTACCCATACTCCCCACACACACTTTTAAGTTTTTTTGTTAAGTATTTTGAAGCATACCTAGCTGAGCATTTTACTGATTGATTGATTGATTGGTGTTGTGAAAAAAGAAACCAAATTGATAAAAAACCTTTGAAAAACCACCCTAAGTAGAGGTGATAAAAAGTCGATTGTTATCGATCTTAGAAAGTTCTCCACTCTAAACCACACTTAGAGCCAAAATTCAACTCTTTCTCAACGTTAACTCTGTCTCTCTTTTTCCAAAAACCAAAATTTGCTTGAAAAACAAAAAATATAAAACAAACAACACCCACACACACACCACACACGCACACACTGCCATCGACCTTGTTATCGACCTTGCTATCGATAAACAGCAACGAGACGGGACTATCATCACCCATACGCAGTGGTTACCTGAAGCGCAAAACCTACCTGAGCCACCACTAGAGCCACAGAGATGCAGCTACCACCCAAATAGATTGATCCATCAGACAGAATGAAATCAAATAAAATCCCTCAGTACCCAAAAATAGCACTCCCTTCGAAATAGAATACAAAAATATAGCCAAAGGACGACGAACATCGATGCCTCCATATGCTACATCTGTGTATATACCATATATATATATATATTTATATACTATGCGCGATATATTGAAAGTTCAATGGTGTAATATACATATATATCAAAAACCAAAATTGCAAAAGAGAAAAAACAATTGTACAACATTTAACCAAAGTCAAATGTGTCACGCGGTGAGTATGCATATAAAGCACTAAATATATTAGCTATAATCCATAAATCTAGAAAATCAATAAGTTTAAGAGGGAATATATTACTTATTTTGAAGGAAAATGGATAATTAGATAGAACTATTCAAGTTCTTATAAGGGTGCTATATAAATCTCTAGTAATTTCAAATCACTTAAAGAAGTATCATAAATTATTATAAAAAACTAAAATTATTGTATTTCTCTAAAAGAAAAGTACTGGAGATTTCCATACCACCCGCCTGTTTTAAATCTCCATGATTTCTTTCAAGTTTGTGTTACAATTGTTTCATAAAACGTTTTCCAACACTTTTATTCCCTTAGGTACCTGGAAAGAAAGACTGTTTCCTCCTGTTGTTTGATGGTTTTTCAAACCACTTAAAGCATTAAAAAAAACATTGAAAACTACACGAAACAAAAGCCGATTGTAAAGCTATATACTAAACACAATTAAAAAAAGATATATACAAAGGATATATTCAAAATATAGAACCGTTTAACATATGCAAGCGAACCAAGTTCAACAAACCACGTGAGGTACAACAACCGAAGGACAAACTAATGGAACCGAAGATCTCCCGATGAGTAAGGATACAACTAAGACAAGGACGGGCGTTGCAAAATCAAAAGGCAAATTAAATGTGCATTTCTTGACAAACAACCACTACAAAAAGTATAAATTAAACGGCTTCCGTAAACCACAAAAAAAACAATTAAAATTTATATCTATATGTATGCGTGTAAAATTGACAAAAAAAGACGGTTCTTAAGAAACTAAAATCTTCATGAAATTGAATACAATCTATTACCTGGCCCCAGAAATTTGAAATCTCCATAATTGTGATAGTCATTCGCTACCAAAAGTTAATTTAAACAAAGAAAAACAGCAAAATATATTTATCTCTACTAAAATTGTTATTCTGGAAAAGAAGAAGAATTTCGGAAACAAGCTATTGGATATTGTGTAAACGTAAAACCCGATTTTGTGATACCAAAACTAACTAAAACCGAAACCAAAGTTGAGTTCGAGATGAGATCAAGCCGAAAACTCCTCGTGTTAGAAACCTATACAAACAACTCAAGGCGACCTGATGATATGACGGGCATTGAATCTGACCCATATAGTACTATATATCTATAGATATACCACTATGTATATGCATAACCCGGTTATGTGCTGTCCACACAAGTTAACTAAAAACTCTCACAACTCTCACGAACTTGTAAGCAAAAGAAATCTCAGATACAAACCAGATAACACAGATATAATGGTACTAAAGGGACCTTCAAAATGAGAAATCTATATATGTATATGTAATCCGTTCGATCTGTTTAGGTTTACCTAAGCCAAAGTCGGTTAACTATCGAGTAGTTGAGTTACGCCAGTAAGATACTTCCTAAACTGAAATATAAATGCAAATTGAGGAGTTTAGACAGTTAGTTGTAATGAGAACAGAGTAATTGTATGTAAGGATATATAATATATTATATATATATATGCCTACACTATATACTGTATATTTATCTAGCGCAACTACATTAAGGACTTTTGCAGCTTGCTAACTGAAAAAGTGTTCCGATCAAAGTATTGTCCGGCTATACGTTCCTCTCTCCTCCATTTGAGTCGACTTTAAACTCTATTTTATTCTTTTGTAGCGAGTATTTAACTAAAAACCAATGGAATGGATCCACTAGATTTTAAGATGAACCTCTGCCTAAGAAGAGTTTATCCTATATAAGTACGTAGCGAGTTGGTTCAGCATGAGGTATAGAAGTATAAGGGCAAGTCCTATTAAATAACACACCAGATACTCATAGAGTCCAAAGGTTTATGTCTGTCTAATTAGCTGGTAAATTAATGGCATTTCTGAACTCTTTTTTGGAAACTGAACATGTTTTTGTACTGTTCTTCACATTTGTAGAACTCTGTCTACGTCTTTTCCCCACCAAAAACAGCAAGGTGCTGAAAATATAGAACATAGAATGTAATTCCAAGTTTTAGACTTCACACAATGGCATAATAATGACTGTTGTACGTATTTCTAAAAATTCATTTTAATCTATTGATTTCTTCCTGATTTATCGTAGCAATCTGTAGAATTCTACATTCTTTCGCTACCAAAATAAGAACTCCCCAAGCCAATAAAGCGTTGAGCAGCATTGTATTGATATTTTGAGAACCCACCATTTAGATGATAAGCTAAGGTCCCCACAAACGATGACGACGACTAAATGCAGAGAGTATAATCAAAGAACAAAATACACTGAGAACAATGGAAAGGTTTAACACACAGCATGCAAATGTTACGTACATAGGTAAATTTGTGTCCGTATGGTTATGTATTTTAATTGTTAAGTGCAAAAGTCCAGGAATAACAAATACGAATTCAGATTGTAAACCAATGTAAGGAGAACGAGGCGAAAAAAGTATGAAAATTATTTATTGACAACAAAATCTACAAGTCGAAGATGAACAAAATATAAATGAGGAGCAAGCCAAATGCAATCTATTTACAAAATCCTACAAAAATCTAAATTATTCGAAGCATGAATGACAAACAGAAGAGCAAAAGATTGCTGATTCGACGAAAAAATAAATATATGTATAATGTAAACCTATCCAAAAACCCAGAGATTTTTTAGCCAATTGTTGAAATTGGACTATGACAAATAACAAAAGTAAACCAATTGAAATATGGCATAAACAAATATTTTTCGATGTAAGCTGTTTGTTAGAAAATGATCGAGTTTCAGCGATTGATGTGGCTATAACCAGTTGATCAATTCGCTGAAAATCGAAAACAAAGCGGTTCATGAAAAGATAACAAAAACAAAAAAAAACAAATGTTCTATTTGATGTTGCAAATGAGAAAAATAAATAAAACATGTTATGTGAAAAAATGATTTGTGTACTTAATGGATTTGAGGGGTGTCAAAATGGTAGAGGAAATCGATCCCAGGGGATTGGCATATGGTATTGAAAATTATGGGCAGTTTAATAACACTTGTTTAAACAAATAAAGCGTACTAAACTAAGTGATGCATAAAAAAATCATTTTATCAAGCACCCAAATCGCCCCATATGACGAATTCCAGCAGACTGTACTCATTGTTTGATTAATCAAATGATATGCTAATCGTATTTCAACTCGCAAAACGAACAGCTAGCAAACTCAATTCTAAAAAAAACGGAATGCCAACAGTACGCTTGGCTGATTGACAGCTAATACATATAACTACTTGGAATAGAAAAGCAAAATGAATAGCTCACATGGTTACTATTATAATAAAGAATACAGTTTGCACCGCAATTCCTAATAATTGTTGTAATTAAATATTATTACCAAACAGACAAGGCATTTTCCATTTAAAGATACTTAAAAAGTACTACTATCTGGAGATTTCTAGATTTGTAGCCCTTATCATCGTTTTCTAGTTATAGATGTACAGAGTTCACTAAGCCGAAGATCAGTTCCACAGTCATATACAATACTTTATTATCAATCAGGTTTAGTTGTTTACATTAACTACAAACGTCATTTGCGAACGGGAATAGAAATTAAAAGGGGGGCGATAGAAAATAGAGGGTTGATATCAGCGTACAGCCGCAATACATATACAATCTACAGCTTGGGCAGACCCGCCGAAATGGAGCTCTCGATGCCGCAGTGATCCTGGCCACGCAGGATGCGGAAGAATCCGCGATCGCCCCAGTCGGTGTTCCACGAGTTGCCAATCAGCCAGTAGGGGATCTTCTCGTCACCCCAAACGCCCCAACCCAGGATACGGATGGCATGACCGCCCAGCTCCTTGCCGTGCTCGTGCTGGTAGACGCCGTCCTTGTACAGGATGAGATCCTCGTAAACAGTGAAGGCACCCTCCACCGGTCCATTGGTCATGATCTCCTCCTGGATCTCGCGCACATTGCGGCGCACCGAGTAGGACTTGGAGCCGAAGTGCTTGTCCTTGGCGTAGTTCACAGTGTAGCTGCTCTGGCACACGTGCTGGCACTTGGGCGTTCCACCGCCGTGGGCGCAGGGCGGACGGGTTCCATTCACGTGGTGCTCACAAGGGGAAATCTCGTAAGGACGGCAGCCCTGCAACAAAAAATATTTAATATTAAAATCGTTTTACTTAATTATAGCGTTTTTTATTTCCAAATGGAAAGTGTTCATTAGTTATCTTCAGAAAAATGATCTAGAACTAGCTTGACCCTTTTTGCAGCTGTCATTTAATAAGAAAAACAAGGAGTTCATTTAAAATGCAGAGTATATATCAAAGCTAAAAAATGAATGAAATGAATATAATAGCTGGTATATATTTATATGGCGAGATAAATGCAAAGCCGCTTTCTAGCAATATCTTTCGTTCAAAATGACTTTATGGCTTCGTTATCTTCATTGCTAACGTCTAGTAAACAAAGAACAAAGTTGCAAAGACGTTGCTTTGAAATTGTTTCTGCGTTGCAATGACCCAGTATAATATTGATTAAAAAATATCAAAGGAAATTTTTCTTTTGCAAAACTCGGCACCCATATATTAAAAAATAGGCAAAGAACAGAACCTCTTTTACTTAAACTTATTTAGATGCAAATTTAAAACACTCCTGTAACTACATGTAAGTAGAAAAATTTTATAAAAATGGGGTTTCAGGCGATAAAGACTTGAAACTAGACAAAAGAACTCTGGTACACCGGAATTTCCCAAGAAAACAAATATTTTTCTGCTGAAAATAAAATGAGTGTCACAGAAACCTTTTGATTTTCAAGAAATAGGAATCTTTAAAGACAGTAAACCTGAACTAAAAGCATAATGTACTTATAAACATGCCGAAAACTATAAACAAGGTTTCAAACATTCTGTCCCTTGATAAAAATATACGCTTTGAAGTAAACATAACAATATAAACACCATTTCTAAGAATTTTAAGGTAATTCAATGACAAGTCTGCTCTCTAAGTGTATGAACCTAAAGCAAGAGAAGACCACCCACCTGGTTGGATCCGAAGGGACCTCCGCTGACGATGCCCTTGCGCGTCCAGTAGCTCCAGGCGGCGCCGGGGAAACCTCCGTTGCAGCCAAATCCGCAGGTGTGGCAACAGGACACCAGATCATCGGCCGAGAAGTGGAAGTTCACCTTGCCTTGGGAATGGATGCACACCTGCACATTGCGAAATCAGCAAAAAATAAAGAAATCATATTATAAGGAACAGATACATATACATCAGCTGGTTAAACAAAGGGAAGGCGGGTCTATACAAAATCGATAAGATAAGATAAACTGAGCTAAGCTATGTGCGCACCCGATCAGACATGGCTTCCACAGCACCAAAGGCCCAGCAGGAGCCGCAGGAGCCCTGGTCACGGATTTCGCCGATGGTTGGGCAGTTTGGCCACTCCTTTCGGGCATCGAACTCCTCCGGAATCTCCTTATCGGTGGCCTGGTACAGCTCACCCAGAACCTTTTGCTTCTCGGGCAGGGCAAACTTGTGTGCATCCGGATGGACGCCCATCAGGCGGCGGATGTGGTCCTCCGTCACGGATTCATCGAAATTGCGTCCAACCTGGGCGGATAGAGTACGGAAAATTCAATTTTCTTGTCACGTCAGCAGAGAACAGCGGGGGAAAACAAAGGAAATGTGGGACTATAGCTTACCGTCCAGGTTTTGGCCTTACTGCGCACCACCTCGATGAACTCATCGGATAGCATCGACGGCTCCGCGGCACAGAGAGCCACCACGGAGGCCGCGATGGCCACCAGGAGCAGCAGCTTCATTTTCAATCCAGCGAATCTTTCCCAAGCGCTGACACAGCAAAAATGTCACAAATCACACTAATCACACTCAAGTAAAATGGGGGGCGAAATGACGCGTCGGAATAATTGGCTTGGCTTGGGTTCTCTGTGTTCCGTAGTTGTTTTCGTACTGCCCGCGAAAAGCGGACGGAGAACGCTCTTTATTTCTCTTGTTTTCCCAAAAAAAAATGGTTGGCGCCCGCTGATTACACGGCCAGTGTGTGCACACCGATGCGATGGTGAAAGTGCCTATCGATAGTAGAGATGCCCCGATAGTCGTGACATGAATATTGTGTGGATTTATAATAAATAATTTACTTATGCTTTATTGATTTAAAAAAATATAAGAACCTTTAGAAGTGTTTAATATGTATTTTATTAAAAAATAAAATCATTACAGTTTTGTACTTTATACAAGAACATTATGGTTTAACTATTGTAATGTACAAACAAGACAAATAAAAAAAAAAAACAAAAAAACGTCTAAAAAGTCAAATTAAAAATAAATAAAAACATTATTTGTAATGATTACTATTATTTTTCTTTGTTCCAAAATACATTTTTTAGCATTTTTGAAATACCATTTCTTTATCCAAATGTAGTTTTCTAATATTGTTGTTATTATTTCCTACATTTCTTTTTTGCATTGTTAACAGAAACGCTGATTATCGAAAATATCGATAGGCGCCCATTTGTCAACAAAGCTAACAGAGCACTGTTAACCAAACGAGGGTGTGGCTACACTGGCTGGCAATATTTTGATTCGGAGCAAAGAAAGATGCGGATTTTCTACGGATTTGTGGTGTTCCTGGTGGCCACGAGTCTGCCCGCTGCACGGGCAATACAAGCGCGCAGCGACAAGGAGCAGCCGCAGACGGTGGTTTCCGGCACGGCGGTCCAGTCCGTGGTGCCTGTCCAGGCGCAACTTGGCTCAGGAATGGGAGCCTCCTCCTCGTCCTCGTCGTCTTCCTCTTCCTCCGGCGGACCTGGCAACTCCGCCTTCCATCCACTGGGACCCTATGTGAGCTGCTCCTTTCTGCCGCGCGACTTCCTTGAGTGCAAGGATCCCGTGGATCGGCATGAGAACGCCACGGCCAAAAATGGCAAGCCCATCGGATGCGTCAAGTGGGGCGGATCCACTTACGAGGATGTGGAGCACACCGAGGTGTTGTGCACCGTGTTCTCGGACATCGAGTGCTTTGGAAATCGCACCTTCCTGCGCGCCGGAATTCCCTGTGTCCGCTACACGGATCACTATTTTGTGACCACTCTCATCTATAGTATGCTGCTTGGATTCCTCGGGATGGATCGCTTCTGCCTTGGGCAAACGGGCACCGCCGTGGGCAAACTACTCACCATGGGCGGCGTGGGCGTCTGGTGGATCATCGATGTCATCCTGCTGATCACCAACAATCTGCTGCCCGAGGACGGCAGCAATTGGAACCCCTATGTGTGATATGCCTCTGTGCTTAGTCTTAAGTAGTTTAGTAAGATCGATTAGAGTAAATTAAGCCAAATTATGGGTATTAGATTTTAACCTTTGTTTTACTTTTTATTCCCAATAAGTGAGTGGTAGAGCCAGTTTATAATAGAGCCTATGCGCCAGATTTATCAACTGGGTTTGTCACCACACAGAAAGAAAATTATAGGAAAACCTTGTATAAATTGTGTTGAAAGGCTTAAAAGACCGATAAATATATAGGAATCTATAAGACATGGCTTACTGATTTTTATATAAAGATTGATCTGATAATTGAATCAACATCAAAAAGCTTACACTAATTATTATTTTTTTAATAATATAATAAAAATCCAATCTAATAAAATAAAATCCAATCATGTACTACACTTTTTATATATATTTTTGTTAGATTTGAGTTTCGCGCCCAACTTTAAATATGGCATATTTCCTTCTTGTCGTCTGGTCACACTAAAGCCGCCAGTGCTGCCAACTTATAAAGTATGAACGGACCTTTTTGACGGGAAAGCAACAGAAAAGCTAAACATTTTCGGAAAATAAATTGTTTAAACGAATTTGTGGCATTCATATAATGTTTTAAGATGTCCCACATTTTGTTTATATTTAATGAATTATCCTCAGATTGTGCGAAAAAGGTGTTATTTTATGTAAAAGAGATGGCAACATTAAATAGCTAAATAAAACCAGCTAGAGTTTCCGCCAACAAGGCCAGACTTGACGGGAAATAGGCGGAGTCGGCCGCTCTGCCGGCGGCTGCCCTCGAAAGTTTCGCGTGGAAACGAAAGGAAACTCGAAATTCAGTTGCAAAAAAGCTCGCCGACCGAGCGGTCTAACGGAGAGACGCTTTCTCTTTTATTTTTCCCCCATTGACGACGCTGCGTGCGCGTCTCTCCCGCAAGAAACAACAACAACAACAATAAGAATAAGAACTGTGCACGGTGCATAAATAAAACACACGAAAATATACACATATATGTATATTTGCTAGGCATTTAGAATTTATGCACAAAAAAAAAGAAACGCCACAAAAAAAAGAAAACAAAACAAACAAACGAAGTGATGACAGCCAAAAGTAATAACAGTAGTTAAATCGCGGCACAAGAACGTAAACACAAAATCGTGTGTAAAGTGAATTCCATGGGAAAAAGACGAGAAGAAGAGTACAAGAAGTACAAGAACAACAGCATGAGGACGCCGACAGTGACGCCGGCAGAGGCAGCGGCAGCAGCAGCGGCAGCGGTCGAGACAATTCGAATTTCTTTGGATGCTGATGGACTAACGGTGCTTTAGTGGTTGTTCGCGTGTGTGTCTGTGTGTGTGTGTGCGTGTAAAGTAAAGCGGAAAACAGCAGAAACTGAATGGTAAATAAGTGTAAACAGAAAGGAGAAGAAAGAAGGGAAGAAAGAGTAAGGGAGCGAAGAGAGAGAGTAAGAGAGAGAGAGAGAGAGCGGAGACAGTAGCAATTTCCATTTATCGATCCGCTCGCTCGCACACCTGAAGCTGCAGCTGAAGCCATTCCAGCATCATCGACTTAATCCGTTCGAGCGGGATTAAGGCTGCGCTGCCGCCACAGCGACAGCGACGCCCACGCAGCGTCGACGGCGCAGCGACCGCATTACCGGTCGCCGGTAATTAGCCGCCAAGGCCGTCGGCGCTACACAGAAATAAAAAGAAAAGAAGCAGGTGCCACGATAAGAAGATCTATTTCCAGAATTTCCATTTGTCAAAAAAGATACATCTGGAAATTGTCAAACCGAAACATCACGCCATGATAAGATGATCTATTTGATCTTATACAACATTTTGCACTTGATTCCAGAATTTCCATTTGTCAAGAAAAGATACATAGCTAGAAATATCAGGCCATGATAAGATGACCTTTTTCATTTTGAACATCATTATGGATCTGATTCCCGAATTTCCATTTGTCAAAAAGATACATTTAAAAATTTTCAATCCGAACTATCACGCCATGATAAGATGATCTATTCGATTTTATACATCATTAAGCAACTGATTCTAAAATGTGCGTTTGTTAAAAAAATAGATATGTACATATGGGTACATAGAAAATTGCAAATCGAAATATCAGGAATGTTCTGGTTTTCACTTTTGGAATATTTTTTTAAAACTAGATTTTAACAAATTGTATTATTTAGTCAATTTAAACGCATTATTCTTGGAGGAAAGTATTTATATAGTTCTCTATAACAGTTTACATGATAAAACAAATTTACCTACCAGTTTTTAAAGTTTCTTAAAGTTCTGAAAAATAAAAAACCGAATCTTGATATTAATTAAGCTAAAAAAGTTTAATATTATTAAGTTAGATGCACAGAAAAACACTGCTTAAATATTTAAACCGGATGTTAAGACCTAGAAAATTAATGAAAATGTATAGTACCAAATCTTTTTTTTAAGTTTAACATGCGGATGAGAAAAAGGTTCTTAACATATCATAGGATTCTACATTATTTCATATATCTATAAATGGAATACGTATCGGTGGTGATTGAAGAAGTATTAATATCATATATATTTACATTCATCGCACCGATTAAACATTATTCGCATATAAAAATTATAATTACTATTGATTCACTATCGAGTTGATTTTTTTCTGTGTACATAATGGCTTCAGTTTCGCTGCTGCAGCGGTGTGAAAGTTCAGGCTCATTAAGTGCAGCCGCCTAACGGTGCTCGATACGCGATACCCAACTACCAACTACCGACTACCGACGATGATGTAAACGAGATTAAGCGAAACCAGTAGCTTTCTAATTAGCAGCATCCTGCAAAAGAGTGTCCCAAATTTAAAGTAGACATGGCAATTTTCCAGATACATTTTAAGGCATAAAAATAGTACCCTTGTTTGATTTTTTTAACCTTAATCTCTGCAGTTTTAAAGAAGAAAAATAAAATTCTTTCGCCAGAGGGTAAGAAACTGAATTAATTCTGCTTAAATTGCAAGATGAACTTTTATAGGGACATTAAATGTGAAATGAAAAATGTTCTATGGGGCCATTAAGTTGCTGTAGTTGGTACAACCAAGCTAGGGGAAAAGCCCATTTATAAAGACAGTTGCGCTCTATTTCCTAGAACGTGTTTGAAGAAAGACAATTTCTTCGCGTTGCTAATCTCTTAACCCTCTAGATGGGACTTTTCAAAGTTTAGTAAGCTGGAAAAAAGAAAAATAAATGATATAGGATCGTTTTAATATATCAAAACAAATAAAAAATGGCAAATCTACTATTGTATATATTCACGGGAATATAAAGTGTAATTTGTTAAATAATAATATCATTATTTAGGGTAAAGAGAAGTACTTTCTAATGAACGAAAGTATCTTTAGGTTATAAAGTGCTTAAAGATACAAATTTTTAAACGATTAAAAGTCTGGGAAATCTATCTAATTTAGTAGCCCTCATTCTCTCTCCCCTTCTATTTATCTATCTCCATTTCATCTAACTTTCGCGTTCGAGAAAGTGTTAAGAGAAAACAAAAACAAGCCAACAAACAATAATGCTAATGAAGCCAACCGTGAAACGATTTTTTTTCTACATTTTTTTTGTATGTTTGGAATTTTTGTGTTAAAGTGCAACCGAAGCAAAGCAGCGTAAAATAAAAACCATAAAGTATAACCAGAGCAGTGGAGGGATCGGTGAAAAGCGTTAACCGAAGCCAAGAAAAAATTAAAACCGAAAACCAACATCAAAAGTTGCCAACTTTTTTTGCGACCGCAGCAGCCGAAGAAGCAGCGGCGTCAGCAGCGACGCCCGACTGCAGCCAGCGTCGCGCTGGCAACAACAAATTGCGGTAAGATTTTGTTACAACAAATAAAAATAATAATAAAAACCCTAGATCATAATCGCACCAAAAGAAATTTTTTTATACGTTTTTTTTATAACTATAAAAAAATATCTTAATATATCTTGTTTAAAAATAATATTTCTTATAATGGTTAATTTTCTTATTTTGTATATCTTTTTTAATCTTATAAAATAAAGTCAGATCATGTAATTTTAACTTAATTACTTATGAAAAATATTTTTATTATTTGAAAACATTTTAATGAAAAAAATCTATTTATAAAAATATAATTGCTAAAAATGTTATTGTTTCTTATTTTAATTATAAAATAATCTTATAAAATAAAGCCAGATCATTTAATTTCAAGTTAAATTCTTAAGCAAAATATTTTTATTACTAAAACAGTATTTCCTTGTTTATATTTGAAAACATTTTGACGAAAAAAAATATTTTTTAGGTAAAATAAAATTCATAAAATTGTATATTTCTTTATTTTTATTATAATACTATCTTATAAAATAAAGCTAGATCATGTCATTTCAAGTTAGGTTCTCAAACAAATATTTTTCATTAGTAAAACAGTATTTTCTTGCTTTTTAATATAAATTAAAACTGCAATATGTTGGAAAGGAATAAAAAAAAGCTTTATAATATGGGTAATATTTTTCTTTTGTGTACTTATATACTCATATTCCATCTGGAAACACTCGTCTATATATGTTTACTGCTTCAGTCTGTCACACACACACACTGCTGATTTTACTGTTTAGTTTGTAATTTTGCCAAATTGTAGACACAGCATAATAAACACACAAAAAGAAACGAAACTAGAAATGTAGTTCAAAGTTTGACAGTCGGTGGGGATGGGGCGAACCTCGTTCCAGAAAATAATTCACTTGATTCTATTACATAATGGCAAGGAAAATTCGACTATTAGCCAAATTAATTGTGGTTGGTTGGTGAATGGAATTACATTCATTTGAATGACCAGTGGTCTTTTACTTATTGAATAAACCAAACAAGTTTTTAAAAGTTAAAGTCTTTTTTAAATTGAATTAAAGTATTAAATTCTATTGGTAAATCTATTAAGACTTTTGGTTAATCCTCGGTCTTATAATCTTAATATTATCTATGTGTGCTCTTAAATTAATTTCCCTCTTTTTGTGAATCCCTGATGAAACGATAGATTAAAGTCATCCCCGCATTGGGTTGTCTTGGAAACTTTAAAACCTCATCGAGGTCTAGACCAACCCCCACATTTTCCATTGATAACGATTTCTGGCCATAAAAAGTCATCCCCAATGCTGAATTTTAAAAGCTTCGAATTGCTGCAAGTGTGAATGATTTTTCAAATTGAAATTAACGTTTACCAGAATGAGACAGCAAAATAAAAGAAATGGGAAAAACAAATAGAAAAGACAGACGTAGTGGGGGGTAAAAAAAAAATTTAACAAAGAGTACTAAAAATAACCAAAAAATTCGCTTAGGCCGGTCTCGAGTGCCGCCAGCAATGCCTTAAAGTACACAGAAATAAATATAAACTTAAATTAAAAAAAATGTCAAAATGTTGAAAGTATTTTTATATTTTCCCCTTTTTTTTTTTGCAAATTTCCTAAAAAGAATGTCTTTATTTTACCATTGGAATTTTACCTTTGGTATTTTATCATTGGTATTTTAAACTGTAAGCTTAAAGTTTTAAAAAAATATTAAACATGTTGAAAGTAATTTTTAAACTACCAATTTTCTTGTTTTTTCAAATTTTCCAAAAGGAATGTCTTTAGTTTACCATTGGTATTTTACCATTGGTATTTTACCATTGGTATTTTACCATTGGTATTTTACCATTGGTATTTTATCATTGGTATTTTACCATTGGTATTTTACCATTGGTATTTTACCATTAGTATATTACCATTAAATATTTTAATACATTCATACATAATTCATAGATTTAGCAAAATATATACTGCCAAAAATGAGTAATTGCGTATAAAACGTACGTGCCTATGGTCGCAAAAATTGTTTCATCATTTTTCTGCGTGTATGCAAGGTGGGTGGCAATTTTCGGGGGTGGTTGGCGCCTGCCAGCGGGAAAATGGAAAAGGGCAGGGCAGCCGCCATCCGAAAAACCCAGCCGTATTCGTTGATTTTTCCGTCGCCGGTGTTGCGCGTGTGTTTCTGTGGCTGCCTGTCCATGTCCAAGCATTCCGATTTCCTATTTTCCTATCCCATCTCCTCGGGGGTTAGTTATTTTTGGGGACGACAACCGCAGGAGCATCAGCAGCAGCATCAGCAGCAGCCCCCTGAACTTCTCAACTTCCGCAACTGCGGAGGAGGATTCACCGAAGGAAGGATTGCCGAATATGGAATACATATAGTGTGTGTGCATAGGCAACGTGTGTGTTGTTTCAGTTTCGGTCTCAGTTTTCTGTGATCCACTTTGCCCCTGGAGTTGGCTGTACTGAATGGGCTGAACTGCAGATGTAGCTGGAGGCTAACCATCCCATATCCCATAGTAGGACACAACCCAAGGATGCGTTGACAACCCAGACAAGCGGGTGGAATGAGCCGATAAATCTTGGCTGAACCACAAAGACCTGTTTAGCAGAGTTCGGTATGCAATAAATAACTTTTAATGGATTTTATATTACAAAGTAATTCCTGGTCTAATATGTAAAATGTATTATTGTCTTTGACAAGACAGGTTGTGCATAAAAATTATAAAGTAGCCTCTTCCTTGAATCTGAAATCTTAACAAGTATTAGCTTGGGAACATTACAAGAAATTATACCCAACACAAAGTACATTAAGATATATCTAAAGCTCTTTATAAAGCTCTTCCACAAGACCATCTTGTTCATAAAGATTACAAATAAGTCTCTTTCTTAAATTTAAAATACCCGTAATTGTTTTTATTTAAGTCTTAACAAGTATTATGTACCTTTGGAACTTTATAAAAATTATACTTAACTTATATTATATTATATCTAACTCTCTTTATAATGCATTTTTACAATACCAGCTTGTTCGAAAACCGTAAAAAAGTCTCTTTCATATATTTAAAACTCCCATAATTTAATTTTATTTAAATCCTAACCAAGGGAATTTCCCAATTAGTAACTTAAGAATATTGTACCTTATTTTGTCCTTTAAAGCTAAAGACAATTAATAAACTTTCTTGAGGTACTTCTCAAAATAATAATTTATCCATCAGCTTGTGAAGTGTAATTTCCAAATAATTTCCTTAAATGCCTTAAGTTTGAATGCTTGAATTGATTTCCCTGCGAACTATTGAACTTTGAAGGCCAATTGTGTTATCTAGCTCAGTCGGTAATTGATCACTATATCTGGATCAGATGGCCATCCGAATAACCAATCTCTGCGCCCAAAAGCCTGATTGGAAAATGTCAAGGGTGCCTTCCTGCCATTCTGTCCTTCTGACCATCTGTCCATATGTCTCGCTCTCAAAGTGAACAAAAAGATGCACAAACTTGGCGATGGCGATGATTTTGTTGCCTGTTGTTCTGTCTTTCTGAACTTTGAAGGATTTTCCCCATCTGCGAGGGGGAAAACTCCCCATACAAACACATGCCCAGAAGAGGGCCACGCATAATACACATGCAAATGTCAAAGCTGCCAGGCTGTCGCCATAAGCGAAAGCGTCACTTGTGCCACCTTACCGACATACCACCATCCAGCCACCCAACCACCCACATTTTCCACCCACCCACCTTACCACCCATCATCATCCACCGCTTCGGCCATCGGCGAGTTTTAGCGGATTTTGTTTGTGCCGGAATGAAAATCGTCTTCTTTGGCCTCGTTGTGATTACAGTACTCCCTCCATTGTATCATATGAAAACTCTCTTATGATGTAATGGATCACTCCATTTTTGGATATTACAGGTCATAACTTTGTAACAGGTGATAACTTTTATGAATACGAGTAACAGTCGGCTTCGTGAATCAAAATACTTTAATTTGGAATTTATTATTGTGCTTAAAGCAGCAACAGAGGGCAACGACCTACCCGAGCTCTGCCGCCACAGACACAGTAATCTAAACCAGATCTTCTCCATAAGTAAGTCCAAAAAGCCACTCCGCTGATTTTTTTAGAACTACGTATAATGGCTAAGGAATATCTAAGGAATAGCTCTGCCTTGACTCTGCCGGCACACGTACAGCGTACCACAGCGGTTTACAAAATGTCTTTGTATTATATGCCGAACCCTAGTAGAAATAAGAAGTTCCGATATGAAATGTTGAATAAGTTGGTATCCAATATTATAAAAATGTTTCTATATTCGAAAAATTTACCATATATGATATTTTTGAAGTATTAGAATATTTCTAATATTTTTCAGTTTTGACTTCACAGTATCGGGAGTGCACTGTAATGTTTGTTGTTGTATTTGCCATTGTGTGTCATCCACGCGTTTTCTCTATGCTCCAGTAAAATTTGAGGAGGGTTGTTGAAAGAAAAGCCAAAGATGGGTGGGTGGGTGGTTAGGTAGGTGTGTGTATGTGAGTAGTACCGCGGGTGAACTTTGGAAAACTCACCACCATCTTTTGCCAAACCGGTCTCAGTCGACCTCTTCGTCTTCCCATTTCTCACTATCTACCACACTCAAAATCAAGAAAATAACTTTTTGATCTTATACGATCTTTGATTATATTCATTACGATTGTTTTGTTTCAAAATTTTCATAAGGGATCATTTTTGCATCAGTAATGGAAGTTAAAGAGCTGGTATTACGATATTGTTTGAATTTGAATTAATTCGGAATTTTAAAAGTTCCTTGCTTTAAGATAAATTATTTTTTCATGTGTTCCACTTAAATAAAAAAAGTTTTTTATACCTTGTTTGTTGCCGGATTTATTCTGTTTGGCAAATTGTTTGGCACAAACAATTCCATATTTGTGCAGGCTCTAGAAGTTTGGAGCGTTCTTTCTGTCTTGTGGCTTCATCTAGGTTTTAATACCTGTTAGCTTTAGAATTAAGGGGT